CAGTCCTCAGTCCTGCAAAGTAAATAAAAAGATGAGAATGGAGTGGTGGGCAGGGATGCACAAGCAGTGCTGAGGGCAGGGAACAAGTGTCTTGGGGCAGTCAGGCACCCCCGGGGAGGCCCAGGTGCCATGAGGCGTGAGGGGACCCAGGGTCAGCCTGTCTGCATCCACCCCCTCGGCCAGCCGGGTTGGGGGACAGGCCTGCTAGAGGGGCTCTTGGACCCCACAGTGCTGGAAGCCAGTAAACCCTAAGGCCAAGGCTCATGGGAGGCAGTGAGGGTTAAATCACACACTCCAGACAGATGCAGCCACGCTGAGGCTGAGGCTGAGGCTGAGGCAGGAGGATCACAGGGGTCTGGAGCAGTGAGACCTTGGAGGGGGAGAGCCAGCTCCAGTCACTGGCTCACTGTCCCCGGTCTACACTGGCGTGACCCAGCCCTCAGGTGGCCCTGGGGACCCGCCTTAGGCACAGTGTTTCTACCCGCAGTAACCAGGAGCCTCAGCAGAGGCGCCGCAGCAGACAGCGCAGTGGCTGCGATACCACAGGCGGGCAGCAGAGGGCGGCAAAGCCCAGCCAGGCGACAGGCACAGATCCGCTCTGCCTTGAGGTGTCTGGGCCCGCGGAGCTGTCGCCGCCCTGGGCTACAGCACCGACCCAGCCACGAGCCTCAGCCACGCAGCCGCGGGTGACCCAGGGCCCCCTGAGAACCCGGCGTGGCCTCGGGGGCTGTCCCCAGGGCGAGCTGCAGGGGCCAAGGCTCTGCCCCCCCACCGCAGCCCGGGCTCCCCGCCTCCTGCCTCCTATCCTGGCGGCTCTCTGGGCTTCACAGGGCGGGCGGGATCCAGGACGCTGCCCCTGCTGGGCCTCAAGGATGCACCCGCGGGTCCCCGCACCCTGAGGCTGAGACAGGAGCATCACCCACGCCCGGCTCAGGCAACTGAGCGACACAGGGACAGCCACTCTCCAAAGTTTCACAAGTGGCAAAGGGCTGGGGTGGAGCCCAGTGTGAGGGCCCTGGGCACCGCACACGCACACACGGCACCATCCTCACACACACACGCCCTTAACGAGCACCACAACACACACACACACACACACACACACACACACGCACACACCCTAACGAGCTCCTCTGCACAGGCCACATACAGGTAAGATTTAACAGCTCACTCATTTTCTCTTGGGTCACGGAAAACTTGTCCAAAATCACCGTGGTCACTACCTGCACCTCCCAGGCGCAGGTGCGTTCCACACTGCATTTACGGCACCCATAATGAGATTCGCAGAGTGCAGATGTCCTGGAGAGGAAAAGGCCCCGCAGCCCCAGCGCATAGCACCCTCATCCACCTTCCCAGACACCCGGAGTGAACTCAAACCCAACACCGAGCCTGTGAGCTTGTGGAGAAGACAGACACCGAGCTCATCACTGTCCAGATGCTTCACCCTGCAAACAGCTCCTCTTCCCTTCAGCAGGAAAGTGTGAGAACACCCACCCTCCCCAGGTGACTGCGTCCTCTGTGCAGCAGGACACGGGTGCGGAGCCAGTACCCCGCTCTGGACAGGATGGTGAGCAAACACCCGGAGCTCACCGTGGCTGCTGCACAGAGGTTTCACAGTAACCAGGCACCGCGGTGTCACCAGCAGAGAGGCACACATGGCAGGTGGGGTGCCGCAACATCTGAGACAGAGGCAGTGACAGCGTCACCTCGTCCTCCACACCTGGATACCACAGCTACTGCTGCTACAGGTGTCAAAATGTCATCTGCAAAAAGTGAGTGGAGCTGAGCATGGTGGCTCACACCTGTAATCCCAGGACTCGGGAGGCTGAGGCAGGAGCATCACTGCCAAGTTTGAGACCAGCCTGGGCTCCAAAGTGAGCTCAAGGCAGCCTGAACTGCACAGTGAGACCCTGTCTCAAAGAGAAAGCAGAAGAGCTCCGGGGAGATGACACATCTGTGACACTTGCTTTTCTCTGCTTAGCAGTGTTTCAGGTCAACTCTGTGCTGCTTAGCTCCGAGCTGGCAGTCACAGGCACAGGGCACACCTCACTCTCAAGGCGCCACAGGAGTAAGGTGGCACTGCCAACAGCAGGCAGGGCAGCCGCGGGTCGGGTGGGGGACCCACCAGAAAGCCAAGCACCGGCCCACACAGATCCCTGGAGAGCGGGAAGGTCCTGCAGGAGCTTTGGGGGTCACGGCCTCCACTTTTGCCACATGGAGACCTGAGAGATCTCACGGTTCCAATAGTCACCACCCACAGCTTCACGCCAAACAGCGTTCCACAGTAAAACTTGACTGAATTGTGCTGCAGAAAATCACGCTTTGTGCACGCGCTAGCACTGAAAGCTGGATGTGGGGCACACGGCTGTAGGCCAGCGCTCTGGGAGGCTGAGGCAGGACTGCACATTCCAGCTCGGTATGGGCAACATGGAACGCTAAGTTGCTGGGGACACAGCTCTGTTTGGAGGCCCGGCTGTCCCCAGCGCCACACACTCAGCCTCACTCTTTTCTTTTCTTTTTTTTTTTGAGACAGCCTTTCACTATGTAGCCCAAGGGAAACAGGTCAGGCAGGCGTTGCGGCGAGGGCAGCTATGGGCGAGTCTGAGGGGAGAGGACACCCTGGTGGCCCCTTGTCCGGGCGGGGTCACAGCCTCCCAGGGCCCTTGGCACACAGGGCCATGGCGATCAGAGCCCCCAGCAGCCTTCCAGCCGTGAAACACCAGTCACCGAAGTACAAGGCACAGGGCTGGGACAGAGCCCCACCCTTCCCAGCCCAGGGCGCCTGCTTCCTCTCTGTGAGGGAGTGTCCTTGGGGGTGCTTACGTGTCTTTTGGCCCTGTACTGTGCCAGCACAGGGATGCCAGGTGGCCCTGGGACCATGACACCTGCAGAGCCCACTGCTCACTCCACAGGCGGGCAGGATTGCTGAGCTCTGGGCATCCCAAGGCCTGCGGGGTCTGAAGCTGCTGCCCTTGGATGATCAGGTCAACCTCGTCATCGGGAAACAGCATCAAGGTGTCCCGCATGCCAACACCTTTGCTAAGACAAGCACCACGATGCCTGGCTCTCTGTGGCCTCCCTACAGCCAGGCCAAGCACCGGCCCTGCCTTGCCCAGGACGCTTTCAAGGCTGGAGGCAAACCTAGGGCCTGGAGGGCACTGAGGACACTCCCAGACCCCAAGGCCTCCCCACTGCACTGCATCTCACTAGGTTTGTGGAGAGGGTCCTACTGTGGAGTTCAGGCTGGGCTTGATCCTCCTGCCTCAGCCTCCCAGAGCGCTGGATTACAGGACTGTGCTATCACACCCAGCTCTGGCCCCACACTTACTATTCATCAGCAGAGGAGGAAGAGGAGGGGAAGCAGAGGAGGAGGAACACCCAGGCTGGGTATCCCAAGCTCTCACTGTCCCTCCCCACTCCTGTCCTCACAGGGCATGGGCAGGAAGTAGAGGCAGCCACGCTGAGCTCCATCTGTTCCCTCCCATAACTCTTTACTACCAGCTTCCAGAGGGCTCAAACCCAAGGCACAAGGCTCACTGGCCAGCAGGGGACAGCCATGTTTACACAGTGACGATGTCACCTCCTGAAGGCTACTTAAGGGGCCAACCAGGGAAGCCAGGGAACAGAGCAAGGCATGAATCACCTCTGTAACTTTTAGACTAAATAAGAGCTGAGTGTGGTGATGCAGTCTGAAAATCCCAGCTCCTCATTAGGCTGAGGCAGGAGGATTCCAAGTCTGAGGCCTGAGCAACTCGGCAAGATCCTATGTTAATAACAAAGTGCTGGGGTAGCTTGGGAATAGAGCTCACTGAGCAGGGGTGAGCCCCCGGGGCCGATACCCAGTTCTGTAAAGAAAAAAGCACTTCAGGTTTCTCAGGTGCGGTTTCAGTCTAATGCCTCACTGTGCCAAAGGCAAATCCGAAACTGAACAGAGGCGCGGAGACCTCACCTGGGCCCAGCCCTGGTGCCAGGCCAGGAGCACTAGGCCCGCCAGCCCCTCCCAAGCTGTCTGCAGGTGCGGCTCTACAGCACCCAATTCTGCTCAGCAGGGACATTTAAACAGGCGGACATTAACCAGAGTAGATGTGCTAATCTACTGGGGATTAGCCAAAAGCCAGGGAACACAGCCAAGCAGTGAGGAGCAGGGAGCAGTGTGCAGGGCACAAGCCCAGGGCCCAGGGCTGCGGCCGCCACTGCCTTCTGGTGGCTGCAGGCTCTGTCGAGCTGCCCAAGTACATGGTTTCAGAAAACCGTGGCCTCACGGTGGCACAGGCCAGGACACAGCTCTGCAGCCCGGCTGAGTCTCAGCCTGGGGAAACTCGGGTGCAGCCTGCAGCTTCCTGCCCTCTGCAAGGTGGGCACAGCAGCTCCTCAGTTAGCCACCGGGCAGAGCAGCCCCTGCTGCCCGCCCCAAACCCCATGCCCTCCCATGGCAGCAACACGCTGGCCCCTCATTGAGCACCACACTTCACACGTCCTGAAGCAGCTGCCACCTAGGCGTCTGCAAGCTGCACCGTCGCCTGCAGCACAGCCAGTCCCCAGTGCCGCAGCTACAGAGCCTGAAGGGCTCAGGAAATGCTGTTAAATGTACAGTAACCCTTGTTCTGGAACAAAACCACCATCAGAAACGCAAGGGTGCGGCCATGGAAACCCTGTTGAGGAAGGCCGTGCGCCACAGTGCCCAGGCCCCGCACACCCACAGCCGCCATTGCGGTCGGCGGCTTCCCTGCACACCCGGGAGATGGACACCGTTTTACTGCAGAAGACGAGCGCCTGTGAGCTGCGCAGGGCACTGCACGCATCGCCTGCATCGCCTGCACCTCCAAGACAACCGAGTCACTGCCAGGTGTGGGGGCGCAGGCCTGTGAGCCCAGCACTTGGGAGGCAGAGGCAGGAGGACTGCTGCGAGTTCAAGGCCAGCCTGAGGCTCCTAGAAAATGCAAAGCCAGCCTGAACTACACGGCAAGGCCGTCTCAAAAACAAAGAACCGAGTCATGAAGTGAAGGTTTTGATGTCACATTACTGCCATTTATTTCTCCCTGGCTGAGCCAAAATACAATTCTGGGCTGATGAGCTACAAATACACATTCAAGGCAGGCGCTTTCAACAATTCCTCACGGTGGACGGACGGCTTCTGTCTTCCCGAGCTGTCACTTCTGAGCCGCTGGCGACTCCAACCGCACTGGCCTCACGTCGCTGCTCCTTTCCTCCCGTGCTCGCTGCAGCCCCATCTAGGGAGGAGCAGGAGCAGAAGCAGGAGGAGGCCGCACAGCCAGAGCGGCCTGGCATCAGCCTGGCATCAGAACCCTCTGGTCTGGAACCTTCCGGTGCGGAAGCCACACTGCTCGGAGGGTGGACTCTGCAACCTCGGCTGGCGCTGCGAGTGAACAGACTAAAGCAGAGGAAAGCGTACCCGAGTATTTACACCATAAGAAGACACTTAAAACAGGCTACTTATTAAGTGTGCTTGGACAAACCATGTGTGGAAGTGAATTCCATTCATGTGGAGTTAGTTCTGCAAACAGCTGCTGCCGAGCTACACTAAGGAAGAACACAACGAGAAGACAGGCCTCCCGAACACTGGCTTCGCCTGAGAGCTGGACGCGCTGCTGCGGGAGGGAGGGAAGGAGAGGCCCATCCTCCGCCAGGTACCGCGGGGACCCTGAGAGGGCCCCCGAGGGCGCTCTGTGCACCGACTGCTTGCTGTTCCAGGAGTTTCACAAATTTACAAAGTCACAAAACGCTCCTTGATAACGCGAAGGGTTCCCTATGCTACAGTAAGCCAAAGCCATGCGGGTACCGAGACCCTGCAAAGCTGAGAACCAACTCACACACCTCAGTGAGAACAGCGCTGCGCGGCCAGGTGCAGAATGCTTACAGCATGGTGGTGGCGGCGCCGGTGCGGGTGGCCGGACACCCGGCCCTCCTCGCAGTGACTCATGACTACAAATAAACCTCTCTCAAACCTCTCTGGCCACGGGCTTTGGCTCAGATGCTCCAACACGTACACAAGTTGCATCTTGTGTGTAGTGTAGTGTTTCACTGCTGCGTCCCTTTTCTGTATGTGTGGATGTGCGCAGGGGAGCGGATTATATCAAATGAGGAGGTAGGGAGGTCAGGAATGAGTCACTCAACTGTCACCACTGTCTCACAAAACATAAGTATGGCTTCAAAACAGAGGGGAAAGCCTCTTACTCGTTCATACACATTCACTTTACCTTTATCCAGCCTGACAGCAACACCAAACATGATTACTGCCTCGGCAAGAGTAACCCTCCAGGAGGGCTTAACAGGACACAATTTATAATTCTGGTCCTGAGGTCTTTAAGAGCTTCACTTTTTAAAGAATTCCCACGTTAATCCAAAAAAGGTATGTTAACCACCAAAATGCAAAAGATTACATAAGAACTATTTAACTTTTAAATTTTTGTTTCTGCAGATTACCATTAGCTGAAATCCTAACTCTGTCCCTGACATGTGGTCCGCTGGGCCACGGACCATGCTAAGTTCTCCTAGGAAAGGACCCTTCCGTAAAGGAAAACCAAATTCTCTTCAAAACAAAACCCGCAGCCCAGGTAGGTCCCAGATGGTTCCCAGAGCTCTCCCTGGGCCAAAACAATGGACAACACAACTCAGTTCACAAAATTGTACCATTTTTGTTGTTGTTGTTGTTAGACAAAAGGGGGGAGGCGTGGGATTTATATATCAAAGTCAGCAGAATTTTCATGTTTTACAATCTTGTTGCTAGAGACAGCCTCAAATTCCTTTAGTCCATTTGGGAAATTTTTTGAAGGTAACGCATTAAACAGCAGCAAAAATACCAAAACAATTTTACTGCTACTGAAGCAGCCACTCCTGCCTCTGCCTTTAGAATACTAGCTGAAAGAAAGCAATGGAAAAAAGAGAATTTGTGCCATCAGTTGGGATCTGAGCAATTCCTTGGAAGAAACAATTATTCCCTAAGACAGCTCAAGGCAGGGCACCTAAAATCACATTGAGGGCAAACACTCACCCAGTTTAGGAGCAAAAATCAGAAAGCGCCAGAAAGAAGAGACAATGGCTCGCATTTAGTATTCTAAAGGCATGATTCAGGTGGTTCAACAATGATTCTGGTAAGACCGACTGCTCACACGCGTACACACGCACACACGTGGATTTTAATGGTTTAAAAAAAAACCAAATTCATTACTTTAGAAAAATGAATGCAGTGCATTTTCAGCAATGTTCTCGCCACACTCGGATCGCTCAGTCCACACTTCAGGAGCAGGTACCTCCCACGGCAGTGTGTGGCTCTGCTCTGACTCCCACCGGCCGAGACTGAGGGTGGGAACGCAGGACCTCACTCGTCAGAGCCCGCCGACCGCTTCTGTGCCCGCTTCCGGGGCGCCCTTCTCGGAGATGCTTTGTCTGGAAGAGAAGAGAACACTCTGAGCTGCTGCCCATAACTGGACTCCAAAGCCACTTCCTCATCCTCACCCACAGAACGGAAAGACATGCACACACGCACACGCGTGCACCAAGGATGACATCCAGGAACGAGGCAGCTCCCCAGCTATCAGGAAGACAGTCCCCCTCGTTGTTAGATAAAAGGGGGTAGGTGGGGATTTATATATCAAAGCAGAATTTTCACGTTTTACAATCCCCAGAGCAAAGGAGACTTCTGCTCCCAGGGTCGGGAAAGCATCTGACCTTGGTTAATGTACTGTGGCAGACTCCTCAAAACATCTTTAATGCTACAACTTAATGCATCCACACGTGCATAAGGAGTCCCCTAAGAGCGGCTTCGGAGCCAGGACACTTGCAGCCCAAATGCACTCGTGCAGGTTCCCAGCATCGTGCAGTCTGCATCAGGAAGTCTACTTGCAATGAGCAACTGAGTACATGGAACAAGCACCGCAACGTGCAGGAAGATCCCCAGTCTCCACAGACACGCTCCCTGCAGTCAGCGCTTCCCTAACCTTCCCATCTCCCACAGGGCCCACCGACAGCACCTCAGTGCTGCTGTGCCTGCTGTGTACACCTATGCACCACGCACACAAGGCTGGACGGACCTTCTCTCTGACCGTGATTATTTTCTCTTATTTTCTAGAAGAACGTTACCCACCAGGTCTCAGAGCAGCTCCCATGGAATACACAAATAAAAATCATAAACATGTACACCTGGCACCGCGGAATGTGCCTGTAGCCCCAGCCCTGCAGGAGACTGAGGCAGAAGGATCGTTTCTGCAGGTCCATTGTAAGCCTGGGCAACATGCAGAGACCCTTCCTACCCCTCCCCAAACGCCTGTCCCACTTAAAAAAAAAAGTGAAAAGCTGGAGAAAGATTCCTTCACCCAAGGATGGGGGTTTATCAACATTTTAGTGACAAGAAAAAAAAAATGTGCTGAAAAGATCTTTCCTCTATCAATATTACTAGATCACTGCTATGGTTGAAATGCAGGTGACCCCCAAAGCCTTGCGCGCTCGTGTGTGTGTGTGTGTGTGTGTGTGTGTGTGTGTGTGCGCGCGCGCGCCCCCGTGTGCACTCGTGCTTCTGGCAGCTGTTAGGGAGGAGTCCGGCGGGGAGTCAGCTCACGGCTCGGAAGGGCTTTCCGGGCTCCCAGGACCCCTTCTCTCTGCTCCCTGTCCACCAGCGCCCGCCACTGCCACACATTCCTGCCTCGAACCAGCTACCTACTGAAACATGCCCCCGCAGTAAACCTCTTCTCCTCAGACTGTAGGTGCTGGGTAAGTTTTGTGCCAGCAAATAGGGAAGGAAGGAAGATACAGTTTCTACAGGATGCAGACATTTTTTCCCACATTTTACAATTTTAAATGTTTATCAAGAATATCTAAAGACTGCTGGGGATGACAGTGCATGCCTACAACCCCAGCTATTTGGGAGGTTGGGGCAGGAGGATTACAAGTTTGAGGACAGCCTGGGCAACTTACCTTGTTTCAAAAAAAAAAAACCTGCCTGAGGACATAGTTCCGGGCAGAATGCTTTCCTGGCGGTCCCAGGAAGGCCTTGCACTTAATCTCTGGGAAGGGGGCAGGGATTAACATCTAAAGGCTGCAAATCCTCTTCCAGCAGTTTGGTTTAAGTGTTAAGGCCTGAAATACTAAGACTGAGTGTACCATGCACATGGAAACGGCCTTACTCAACAGGTGAGCAGTGGGTAGGTTCGGGGAGCTGTACTCTTGCCTAGAACTGAGTGTTAAAGCACAGACGCACGTTCTTGATGATGCAAGCCTACTACTTTCACCAGACTTTTCAAACAGCTCAGAGGAACTACTGCCCTTGCACAGCTGACCACGTTCCAAAGTTAAACAAGGGACACCTGGAGGTAACCCTCCTGCTCTGCCTACTAGCTGTGTGCGCAATCACTGTTAACACACAGATGTGCACACAGATGTGAGCAGGTGGCCATTCCTTCCCAGGAACTCAAAGGCCAGCGCGGGCTTGGACTACAGGACTGCATGCAATGGGGCTGAGAGGACCTCCCACGCCTGCACTGGTGGGTCAGAGCCCGGCGTGGCAGGGCCCGGCTCCGGGACCCGGTGTCTGACGGCCCTGCGCGGCCACTCAGTGTCCAGTGCAGGCAGGGCAGAAACTGCAGCAGCTTTTCAGGTCATTCCGCCTTTGAGAAAATGGTCCCGAACAGCTTAGCACCACAGAGGAAGCGTTTTTCTCTGACAAACAGCAATCCCTGAAGTATGTATTTGCAACCATAAAAACCACCTCATTTACTATTCCCTCAAGACACCTGAAAGTTTTTTCTAAACTCCCACAAAGATCAAAATATTTTAATTTTCAACAGTGAAGCTTAAATCTGTATTTTAAAAAAAAAACTTTAAAATCGCAAGAACTGTGAACTTCATGTCACCCCTCAATGATACTGAATGAGGCAGCTTGAAAACGCCTGCATCCCTCATTTAAACAATGTTCTCTACAACCCACCAAGTTAACTGCAGGAAACTAATTTACTCCTTCCTTTAAAAAGAGGGGAGCAGACCATCAGGCAGCCAGCCGCCTTTCTCAGGTGTGATTTCTCACCTCACCCAGCGGCAACCTTCAGGTCCGTTTCTAGTGTTCTAACGGACACCTCAGTGAGAAAGCTGAAGCATTACGGTTTCCCTGCATATACAAAATCAGCTCACCTGTCACTTTATAGTTAAGACTTGGGTGAACTATCAGGAAAACCTGCCTAGCAATGGGCTCACACACACTGCAAGGACCGAGGACTGGAGGGGCGGGAAGAGGCAAGGCGGGGAGCCCAGCGGGCCCCTCCTGTTTCCACCACTCTCTGCATCTGGTCCCCCACGAAGCGGCTGCTCCCCCAGTCATCTGTGCTCCTAAGAACTCCCAGCTCCCGCTCCTGGTCCTGGTTCTGGAAGGTCTGGGTCCCCGTGCTGCTCGGCAGGCTCCGGAGTGGGCCAGCTCTCCCGCTCCTTCCTGCCAATGCTGGCCTGGGACCCGCTGCTCACAGGACACGAGGCTCCGTAAAGGACAGGGAACCGCAACATACATGTGTAAGATTATCACCACAACACAACTGAGAATATTATTCCGTAACTTTGAAAGCTGATGTATTTTCTAGCCGAAGGGTTAGAAACAGTGAGAGCAGCACTAACCACACTGCGAATGGCTTGCTTTTTTTTTTTTTTTTGAGGCAGGGTCTTCACTTCACAGTTCAGGCTGACCTTGAACTCATTCACAGTGACCCTCCTCCTCCCAAGGGCTGAGACTGAAGGTGTGTGCCCTGTGCCACCACGCCCAGCCCTAAAAGTCCAGATTTTACAGTCTAGTATCACTTAAGGGGTCTTTAAAGACACAACAAACTCTAGGTTTAGGGCAGAGAAAGTACAAAGTCAGTCTGGATTATCCTGGGAAGGAAACAGGTAAGAAACCATTCTAAAATCCCAATAGCCAAAGCGGTAACAATCCTGGCACAGAAGTACGGCTGGGTGAAACACACGGATTCCATAAAGTGCAAGAGTACATACGATAATCAAAAAAACGGGAGGGGAGAAAAATGCTTCTGTCACCGCCTGGGTGGCTTTTAAGCTAGTTTTTTGTTTTGAGTCCCGGTAGAGGAAAGATTAAGTATTTGTATTACTTTCCCAGAAGAAACTATTTAAGTTACCACAGAGTCCTGCTTTGCACCTCTACACAATTTAAATTTTTACCATGATGCTGTCTTTCTTGAATAAATGTTAATAAAAGTCCAACACTGGAAAAAAATTTCTACCTTCCTTTATAAAAATTAATATTCCAGCAAACTGCCTGGGTAATAAAACATATATTTGTTATCTGTCAGGTAATATTTTAGATTTATTGTTTCAAATAGTAATTTTTCCAGTAAAATTTAGTACAAGAAAACTATTCCCGATGTTGGTTAAACTTGCTATAAAGCACTCACATGCCATGTAAGAGCTCCCAATAACTCAAGCAAACACCATTAAAAAAGTTAATCACCTCACCTCTTCTACTCTGCACTGAAGCAACAGGAAGGAAAGAGACAGGAAACAGGTTAGGAATACAGAGAACGCACGCATTTGCAAATCAACTGCAGATCTGAAAGTACAGTACCGCTAAACTAAAGCCCAGATGTTACTATCAACAAAATCAATCTTCAAGGGCTACAGTAGCCGGGGATTTAGCAGCACAGGCGCCTGCCTGGCAAGCTCCAAGTCATGAGTTCGATCCCTGTACAAAACCACAAGTCTACACTAATCATCGTACTCACCTGTCCAGCAGCATAGATGAATGGTAAAGAGCACTCACCCAAGTACTGCTTACTAAATCTAACACATTTAATTTTCAACGAAAGCAGAAAGTTCTCAGCAAGCGTGTCAGGCTACTTACTGATCTGATTCAAAGTCTCCTGAGGAATCCAGCTCATGTCGACGTCACTCTGACTGGACGTGCCCATCTCCACCTTTTGTGCTGGTCTCTTGCGCTAGAGGACACAAACACACTTACAGGTTCTAGTGTACTGTTTTAAAATTTTACAATGTCAACCAAGAAACTGAATTTGAACAATTCACTGTCGTGTTGCTTTCTAGTTCTAAACCACACTAACCACTAATGCAAAGATTTTATTCACTGAAGAGTCAAATCATTACAGAACAAATTACAAAGAACAAATCCTCACAAATTATTACTTTCATGACTTAAAAAGCGTAGATTCATGTCTAAACAATGATTTCCTTTCCATTTGGGAATAAAATCTCAAAGAATGAATTTCCAGTCAGCAGCATGCAAGGCAGTTACCGAAATGCTGCATACACAGTGTTAAGCAAGAAATGAACAGCTGGCACAGATGAAAACATAAAACCTCACTTACAATCACTAACAATTTCTCTTTACCCTAAGAACCTAACACTTTCTGCTACAGTATTAGGCAACAAAGCTGCCAGAATGTAAAATACAGTTTCACTTTCTTTATAGCCTTGCTCTGAAAGTTAAAAAACAAAATTTACCATTTGTACTCCACAAGCGAGCAGTGATTAAAACGTAGCTTCAATTAAAGGGGAAACACACTTGAGGACGCATACACCTCATACATAAACGTACAGCAAGCACTCCGACCACCGTGAAAACAGCTGACAGCTGCCACACCAGGGCGGCCAGTCGGCCACGACACAGGCTCACAGCGGTCTGTCACTGTGTCTGATGCAGGGCGAGGGGACAAGATGGGCCCTTCATTTGTAGGTGGGGGAGGCAGCAGTGCCAAGGGAGGGACATGGGGAGAGGAGGGGGGAGACACAGACGCACAGGTATCGGCCACAGGGCTGGCGAAGATCGTGGCTGAGGCTTTACCACCTGGCCACAAAACCACCAGTTCAGCAGGACACCTGCAGACAAATTATTTCACTTCAAAGGACAGGACTTGTCTGCTAATTAAAAATGACCCCTATGAGCCAACAAAACGGCACCTGCGTGTCACCCCAAGAACTCAGGGTTTGAGGTGAGCCTGGAAAACTTGTAAGACTATCTCAAAATTAAAAATAAAACCAGACAAGGAGGCACATTACACCTGTAATCCCAGCATTCAGGAGGCTGAGGCAGGGGGACTCTCTGTGAGTTTCAGACCAGCCTTTGCTACATAGCAAGTTCAGGACAAGCCTGAATACACAGTGAAAGGCTGTGTCAAAAAAACCCAAAAATAAAAAAAAGCTAGCGATGTAGCTCAGCACTCCCCAGGCTCACTCCCTAGCAGCAGTGGGTGGGCTGGGGGTTACTATCCCCTCACTAAGATTACTAATGCAAATATAAAAGCTCGGTTGTTTAAAATAACATAGCCACAAGAAACTGTAAAAACAGAAAATGAAAGCTTACTGAATTCGAGGGAAATAAATTCTAGCATAGTTCAGACTTACAGTAGGACAAAAGGGTCCCTCTGAAGAGTGCAGCCAAGGAAGGGCACTAACTGCATGAGTCAGTCAGCCCTGGTCACATATCTAAGGTCTTACCTCTGGGCTTTATATTTGTTATTTTTATGAGTGGGAAAAGTTTACTGGGAAACAGAAACAGCTCCTGAGACACAGGAGGGAATCCGGAAATGGGGTGCACTGTTTCATTCTTAGAAAGTTCAAAAAAGCTTTACATTCGCAAGAAGCCACGAAGAACTGGGCTGTGGGTGAGGGAAGGCTGTAGTAACTCACTGCGGTTACCTTTCTGGACTCCAGGAGCTGATGAAGGCCAACAATCAGCAGAAGCCCAAGACCAGCGAGGAACATATACATAAAGATTCTAGCATGAAAGGAAAAACACAAACTGGCTTTAATTCGTAAGGCATACTATGACTAATTACCACTGCAATCCTAACACATCAGACAGCTGCCCAGACAACTTGGGAGGGGAAAGGAACAAAATAAAATTTCGTATTTTCGGGGCTGGAGATTTAGCTCAGCGGCATAAGCACCTGCCTTGCAAGCAGGCGGTCGTGAGTTCGATCCCCGGTACCGATAAAAATGAAAAAGACAAAAAAAAAAAAAAAAAATTTCGTATTTTCAACATTAAGCCCAATTAAAAATAACTGCATTTGATTTTTCAGCATCAAATTTACATTATTGTGCACAACTGGATTTACAAATTACCTTAGTGAATGTTATCTTAGTTCACAGTAAATGATAATTTGAAAAGAACACCATTTTTCAAGTTGAATCCAACTTACATAAAGTAAGCAATTTTGGAGGCACATAAAACATAGCTTAGGCTCAGATCAGTCTGAGGAAAGAATGACCAAAAACCAGCTACCACCATCATGTAAGATTTTGTTGGCTTTCAATTATCTTCCCTCCCAAAGTTGGCTCTAATGCTCAGCCACCTTATCTTTGACATGTTCACCAGAAGGAACAAAGCCTTTTCAATAAATGATGCTGGGAACACTAGCTCTACACGTGCCCAAGATTAAAACTGGACCCGGATTTTTTTACCATGCACTAAGCTGAAATCAGAATGAATCAAAGATCTTAATATTAAAACAGAAACAGGGGGCTAGGGATTTAGCTCAGCGGCATAAGTGCCTGCCCTGCAAGCAGGCAGTCATGAGTTCAATACCCAGAACCAATAAAAAGGAAAAAGACAAAAAAAAAAAAAAAAAAAAAACAGAAACATTAAATCTGCCAGAAGACAAAGTAGGTAAAACTCTTAGAGACACTGGTGTAGGCAGAGATTTTATGAACAAAATCCTGATTGGACAGAAACTACTGCAAAGAATCAACAACTGAGATCTCATCCTATTGAAAAGCTTTTGCACAACAAGAGAAACCACCAACAGAATGAAGAGATAACCTATAGCATCGAAGAAAATGTTTATCAGCTATTCCTCTGACAAAGGACTACTATCAAGAACATATAAAGAACTCAAAAAATATCAGTCCTCCCAGATTTAAAGACCCCCTCCAAAAATGGGCATCTGAGATGAAAACACATTTCTCAGATGAAGAAAACAAATGGCAAATTAATGTATGAAAAGATGTTCAAAATCACTGGTCAGTCAAGAAATGCAAATTAAAGCAATACTGAAATTCTATCTCACCTAAAAAGAATGACTGTTATCAAGCTATTAACCAATAACAAACGCTGGAGGGGCTGTGGGGAAAAAGGAACCCTTCTCCAGTGTTGGTGGGAATGTAGACTGATACAACCACTGTGGAAATCAGTGTGGAGCTTCCTCAAAAAGCTGGGATTGGAAGTCCTATTTGATCCAGCTATTCCGCTTCTATGCATATTCCCAGAAGAACCATAGTAGATATATGTGCGCCCATGTTTATAGCAGCACAATTTGTAATAGCCAGATCTTGGAAACCACCTAAGCGTCCATCAACTGAGGAATGGATAAAACACATATGGTATTTTTATGCAATAGCATATTACTGAGTCATAAAGAAGGATTAACTGGAGAATTTTACAGGTAAATGGATGCAACTTGAGACCTTACTCTTAAGTGAAATACATCAGACACCCACGCATAAACACTGTTATCTCACTAGTTTGAGCTAAAAGAAACATTATGTATATGCATATTGTGTGTGTGTGTGTGTGTGTGTGTGTGTAGGTATGTGAAAGTTTGTATTACTGATTTCTCTTAGGTCACTGAAGAGAAAGACTTGTGCTGGTATTGTTTGCACGATTGAACACAGATGTCTTGCGCTCTGGGGTAATGACTTGAGGATAACAATGTACAATGTATGTACTACTGCTGCCCCCTGATTGATGTGTTACGAAATTTTGTTTTGTTTTGTTTTTCTCCTTGAGATAAGATAGATTTAAAAAGAAAATCTGGGTCTGTGGAGTCAACCAGGGTTTCACCAATCTGGAGCCCACTCCCTCCCGCTCCACACTGATTTCCATAGTGGTTGTACTAGTCTACACTCCCACCAACCCTGGAGAATACATGTTAGACCCGAGCATGTGTCCAGGCTGACCACACAAGGTCACTCACGTTTCTCCATCCAACCCGTCCTCTCTTTCAATGATGGTGACAGTTTGATTGAAGACAGCATCCTGGAACACATTGCCCTGTTTAAAAAAGAAAAACTGAATTTAATTTTTAAAATCTGAAAAGCACTAAAAGAATAAATGCTTACAAGAGTTCTTAAAGCTGGGGATTTAGCTCAGCAGCGTAAGCGCCTGCCTTGCAAGCACTTGGTCATGAGTTTGATCCCCGGTAGCCATAAAAAAAAAAATGAATAAATAAATAAAATTTAAAAAAAAAAAAAGAGTTCTTACTGAGTGTTACTGAGCAGATTTAATACAACTTTTCCAGAACTCGTGTCAGCAAGACCCAACAATCAGACATAATTATACTCCTCAACACTGGCAATAGCCCACAACTGGGGTAACTTCTCCTATAAAGCAGCTGTGCCAAAGTCACCTCCACTTTCTCTGGGAAGCACAAGCAGGTGGTTGAGGAACCAGGAAAGCAGAGTAAAAATGAAGTGGAAGTTGCAGAAAGCAAGCTCACAGGCCTGACGCCGCCACACCAGCAGCTTCCGCTGGTCACCAGGCTTCACAGCAAGGAAGGCAGCGTGAAACTGGACAGCAGGATCCGCAGCAGCGTGGACACTCTGGAGACTCAGACCTGCCAGGCGCAGGGTGCAGGTCTGTGGTCTCTGCACGCTGAGAGGCTGAGACAGAAGCGTTGCAAGTCTGAACCCAGCATGGGCAGCTCAGTGACTTAGCAAGACTGTCTAGAACTCAGAAAAGGTCAGGGGCTTGCTCACTGTCTGTCAGAGCCCTGGGTTTATCCTCAGTACTGGGGAGCAGGGGTCCAACCTGCACAAGTCAGTTCTTGCTCTCAACTGACAATGGGCTGGAACCCAATTCCTTCACGATACAAGCAGCTTTTTTTTTTTTTTTTTTTTTTTTTTTTTTTTTTTGCTCTTTTTGAGACAAGGTCTCGCTATGTAGTTCAGGCTGGCCTTGAACTCACTTTGTACCCCAGGCTGGCCTCGAACTTACAACAATCCTCCTGCCTCAGCCTTCTGAGTGCTGGGATGACAGGCATGCGCCACCACGCCCAGCTTCACACATTGTTTTCTGTTATAGGCCTGAAACAACTATATTCAATAAAATTTCAGTTTCCAAATATGCCAGAAATATACCAAATATACCAGTGGGGCAAAGACAGCCGATCTGATGTGAAATGCTCCACACAGAGGCAGCCTTACTCACACCACCAGAGCTGAAACAGTAACACATAGGTGTTACTTCAGGATCCCTCAGCCTATGCTCCTGCTGACAATCCCAGAAAAACAGCGCTCCCATTGGAACCGAGACTACACGGACTTGAAAATGAGATGAAATGGATAATTCTTTAAGCTGCTAAACTGTAAAGCTGAGTAAGCTTAATACAGCACCTTGAAGGCAGGAAAAATGAGCAACCTTTCCTCCTCTCTACAAAGTAACATAAAAAGAAAAAACTGAAGTGCCACTCAGGAAACTGACATACGGTGACCATGGTAACACGTGGGCGATGAGGAGCTGGACAAGTCTCCAGAGAACTGTGAAAAGGGAAAGGTGTAGACCGGCTCTCAGCGGAGGACTGGACAGCGGGAACCCTCCAGGTCAACTCCCAACAGCAAGAGTGTTCTGGGTTCCACACACAACCTTACAAGCAGTCAATGGGCAAAGGGCACGCAACGAAAGGAGGCACAGAACAGTCACCTAGTACATGTGGATGTCTAAGCAAGCAGGACTCCACTGTCCTCCTCACAAAGCACCAGCTCTGCATCTGTCACTCAGCAGCTCGCTCTGATTTCCCAGATGTGCAGGCTGTGTTACCCCTGGTGTCTAACCACAAAATACACATCAGGAGAGACAGAAAGACACTAAATAACATCACCTGCCCCAGCCATCCCAAAGATAAAGAACACAATGGTGTAGAGCGCCTTACACTCAAATCCTTGTAGTTCAGATTGATGACCAGCCCGAAGGGCCGTCCTCCCATGGGCTCCGCGGGGATGAAGGAGTACTCGAAAGTGGCCTGCCTCTGGGGCGGCACAACAGTATTCAGAGGAAGAGCCGTGAAATTCTGGATGTAGAACTGGTAGTCCTGAGGGTAGCGGAACGACGCGTCTAGGGACTCAACGATAAAATCTTCTGTGCCCTTGTTTGTAAAGCCTACCAGGAACTTCACAATATTATTCGCTGGAAAATCTGAAACAAAACAGACACAAGAAACTCAGAACACAGTGCGAAATGAAATGCAGATGCTGCCGGTGGGTTTCCGTGTGCTCTGCTGTGACTGCGGTGGCCCCAGACACGCAACCCTCCAGCTGCACAGTAACTGCCCACCAGGGCTGCCCGTATTCCAGCACTGCACCCAAGGGGCCGACAGGACATCTGCACTCAAACTGCATGGTCTAAGAAAGAGCTGCTACATATCTTGGAGGCAGGAGTATCACACATAGGTAATGATATGCTACCCATGCAGGTAACGGAGAGAGAATGTTGGTTTTCATTTTCATTTCAACAGCACTGGACATTACCTGTGTGGACAATGGAGAGGGTCACCTCCCTGACACCTTTCTTATCGCCTCATTTATTTGCACGGTAACATCTCTGGGTTTTATTTTTAAAAAACACAACAAACCGGTAAGTCTAACAACCCGTGGTGAGACTGAGAAGCCATAAAGAATTAGGCTGTGCTTAGCTTGCCACACTGTGTAACTTCTAGCAGTATGGCATCCATGTACTGCAGTCCACAGAGCTGACTTTCACCCCCATGCGCAAGCCATGGGTCAGGGAGACCCTGTTCCTACAGTCCCCCTTCGACCTGGGAAACCCTGGGCAATGCTCTGAGCAAACCAATCTCAACAGTAACCACTCCATTGGGCTTGTTAGAATCAAATAGCGCCTCCCTCAGTATCAGCCATTATACTCAGGGCTGAATGTCCCCCACCTGAAAATCGGCAACATTCCAAAACCCCAACCTTTCTAGCTCTCCAAGTGGCCAACTCCACATGAGACCTCAAGCCATAGGACACAGTCAAAACGCAGGTGCCTTGGGAATTGTACATAAAATTACCTTCTGGTTACACAGACAAGTACACACGGAACAAATGAGTACCTGTTTGGATTTGGGCTCCCTCCCCAAACTATCCCCTTGAATATATGCAAATATTCCAAATTTTTACAAAAGTAACATCTAAAACTCTTCTGAGCTCAAGCATTTCAGGTAACAGAAACTCAACCTATACTTTCTTATAATGAAACCTAGGCTTCAACCCAAGCACAATTGGAAAGTTAGTATTTCACTAATATTTAAACACTTGAAATACAATGAAATTACTGGAAGTTTTCAAACAATGTTGAACCAGATAGCATTTATTTTTTCCCCTTAAAGACAGTAATACTGCAGATACTAGTGTTCAGATGTATGAGTCCCCAAAATATTCATTTGCATAACACAGTCATGTGAAAGGTAAAGATCTTAAATATTACCAAGGCTTCTCCCCAAAAAGCAAGCTTGATGTTTAGAAACTCCTCTAACTGAATTTAAACCAGTAACTCTTCATTACCTTCTCCTTTTACAAACAGGATGGTTGTATCTGCACTTGGTGAAGCTTCAGGTTCACCAGACACATCTTCTTCCTCTTTATCTTCTGCCTAAGGAACACGAAATTAAAGACAGATTACTAGAGGAGAAAAAGGCATCATCATATGAATTTGCAGAGATTTCCCTAGATTTGGGACCAAGTACTGCCACTTCACAGCACTGCTATTAATGGTATGAATTTCACTGCATCCCCTCACTTAAATAAAACTTCCAGGACAGGACCACTCGGACTTTCTTTCAAACAAGCACTGGGGAAGTCCAACTCTGCTAGAGTTCTGACCACACTCTCAACTGCAAGGTCTGGGGGTGGGGTTGGTAAACTTCCTTCCTGTAAAGAGCTAAATAGCAGACTGAGCTTTGCACACTGCAAGGTCCTGCTACTCTGCAACCGTCATTGTGCAGGAAAGCAACTGACAAAAGATGACAGGAAGCAGGCTGGCCCTAGGCAGCAACACAATTTCCCAAGTCACTCCTAAGCACTTTGACAACAGTCTACAAAGATCTCCATTCTGATTAACAAGAAGGTTTCTCTGTGAAAATCAGTCATCTAATGTGGATGATGAGGCGGAAAGGAGGCGAAGGCCTGAAGATTCCAAGTTTGAGCTCTGCCAGTGAGATGCTCTCTGGAAAAAAGAAAAGGGCTGAGGGTGTAGTGCAATGGCACAGCACCCCTGGGTTTGATCCCCAGAACCACCCATACATAGCAGCAGCAGCCGCTGCCGCCGCCGCCAGCAGGGGAAGACACAGGAAGAGAGGAAAAGGGTACCCCAGCACTCACTCTAACAGGGTTCAGGAGGGGCAATCAGCAAATACTAGAGGCACAAACAGCAGAGTCCTGGAAAACATGCCAGGCAGTCAGCAGTCAGGTTGCTGGTAACCTTAGCAAGCACAGCTTCATTAGACCCATGGGAGCAGAGCACAGAAGGGAAAACTGTCTCGGTTACTCTTCCAAGATGCAGCTAGCAATGGTAAAGTAAGAAAGCAGGAAGCAGTTAAGGGCGAAGAACAGCTTCACAGAGTAAAGCCTCACAAGAGCCTGGAGCTGGAAAGCAAGAGCCAAATTTAAAAAGTTAGCACTGAAATTTTTAAAACAATTACATGTACCAAAGCCAGGAGTTGGAATCTCAAGTCTTTAGGAAAAGCCCTTTCCTTTGCTTAACTCCAAAATAAATACAGCCCGGTGGCACATGATCTGCCATGTCCCACAGTCCTATGAAACCTTGACAGCTGAGCCCACACTGGTGATACAGGAATCTTGGGAACGGAACAGGACAGTCCAGCTCTCTCAGCACTGCAGGCGACTTCTGCAGCAGCCGAGGGTTGGCAGCTCAGATTTCTCAGAGAGCCTCCAGACAGAGGACACACTTGCCCTGCCTTCCTGCTTCAATCAATTCAAAGCATTTTCTGGTTTGAGAAAAGCCACAAAGCAGAAGGTACCTACGCTTTTGTGCTAAGTGGCTAGGGTGAAGTGGATAATCACAGTTGCTCTTTTTTGCTGAGAGTTCTCAGTTGGGAAAATGACTGAGACAGGGAAAAGTTCTGGCCAGCACCACGTCAGATCCAATAGTTCCCTTCTCTGAGCTTTTCCTCCGCATTACTATATTCCAGGTCTACAGAGGCCAAGTTACTTATCTATTTATTCACTTTACTTATTTTATTTTTTTGAGCTAGGGTCTCACTATGCAGGTCAAGCTGGCCTTGAACGTACTTGTAGCCACCTGCTGCTCCTCCTCCCTCAGCCTCGGAGGGCTGGGATTACAGGTGTGCACCGCCATGGCCTGCCCAAGAAATCTTCAGAAAGATGACTCTAACAATGTAACTCATTACTACATTTCTGTACATATAAGCTATCTGAACCACACGTGGCACTTGCACTTTCAGCATAAATATCACCAACAACAAAACAGCAACATACTGATCTAGCTAAAGCTGTTCATCTAACAAACTGAGTTAAAGATGCAAAGCTTTAACATAATCCCTGAAAGTGTAGTATACGTGAAAGACTTGACGCACAGGTAATCAGTAAAGCTTTCCTAAGGGAGGCAGAGAGGTCCAGAGGTATTCTACTTGGCTGAACTAGTGTGTGCTGATGCTGATGTGTCAAAATGGTAATTTAAGAACATCAACAAAATCACAAGATAGCTTAGGTGGAAGGCACACGCTATCAAATGAATTTAAAAAACAAGAGAATAAACCTAATTCAAAGTTAATCTTTTAAATACCAGGAAAATAGGAAATTGGTGGCTTAATCTTGAGGGAAGCGGCTGGGGATATAGCTTAGCAGCACAGTGTCTGCCTGGCAACCGCAAGGTCCTGAGTTCAATTCTTGGTATCCTGCCCCCAAAAAGTAATCTTAGGGAAATGACAAAATTTAGAATCTCAAAAGGTTCTAGGTTCAAATGCAGCATAAAAAAAGGGAAATCTGTATAGATCAGTCACCCCAGAGAGGAAATGCAATCAGCCGGATGAATGCTGTAATGATCATGCTTCTGGCCCAGGAGTCTTCTTGTCTTACTATAAGTATCAATAAAAAATTCAGAATGGGATGACGCCTAAGAGGTCATCTCTAACCCCCTCACTCTTCACTGGACTTACTATGTTTTAGCTTTTTTTTTTCTTGGTACGGGGGATCAAACTCATGACCTCATACTTGGCTCGTGCCGCTGAGCTAAGCCCCCAACCTTTTTTGTCTGCTCCTCACCCTGACCCGCCACCAAGACACTTGTACACTGTTCCAACAACATGACATCCAAAAGAGCAAAGATCTCAGCTGTTCACACTGGCACCCAGGTCAGTGCTGGCACAGGGCAGCCGCTTCCCAACTCAGTGACTGCATAGGGTGACAGCAAGCAAGGAAGGAAGGAAGCGGGAAAAACGAGAAGCCGAAGGCTGGCACCACAGGCCCCAAATCTGTGACCCACATCCAGGAGGCCTTGAATTGCTCTTTATAAAGCATACTATGTCTCCTCTACTCCAGAAAACATTTATGTTCCCTCTCTGTTCTCCAACTTTAATCCACTTTGATCAAAATAAACCTTCGAATTTCATGTCAAATCCATCCATAAAAGAATAAAACTTCTAGATGTATTATACATATTCTAGATGCATCAAATGTGTAAAAAAGACAAACCAAATCTGTGGGTTCATCTTCTTCTACCTCAGCTTCCTCATCTTCATCTTCGATTATTGAATCTTCTACTGTTTCTTCATCCTCTGTAAGATCTTGAGCTCTGGCTAATGAACCTAAACCATAAAATATAAAGTAAGTGAACTTTACCTAGAACAGCAATTTTAAAAATATCAAGTAGAGGGAAGAAAATGCCCCCATGGAGTAAATTTTTTTTTTTTTTTTTTTTTTTTTTGTACCAGGGATTGAACTCACAACCCCATGCTTGCAGGCACTTGTGCTGCTATGTTATATCCCCGGACCCAACACTCAGTAAATTGAATGTGAATGATGCCAAACTACAGTACATCTAAGAATATTTATATTATTTATTTTACTAGTAAATCTTACAAATGCATGTTAGCCAGGTGTGGTGGTGCACACCTGTAATGCCAGCATTTGGGAGGCAGAAGCAGTATTGCCCAACATACAAGGCCAGCCTGGGCGACATAACGGGCTCAAGACCAGCCCAGACTATATAGTGAGACTGTCTAAAAGCAAAAACAAACACAAAGCAAAACACAACCCAAAGGCATGTTAATTTTAATGGGAAAGGTGTATAACTTTTTGAAGTATCCAACAGCTGGAAAAATGAACTACAGAAACTAAAAATATCCTAAAATTCAAATAAAGAAATTCTAACAAATTTGGTTAAGCAATGTAAGAAAAATAATGTTTTGCAAAGATAAGAAGATCCTAAATATAAGCATAAGGAAAACCATCAGGTCTAAAAATAAAATAGCAACTTAGGTTAGAAACTGTTGTCAGAACTGAACCAAATGAAACAAAATTTGGTAGCAGTAATTCCATGATAAAAACTAGCCTACAGAAAAGAGTTTAGTTAAAAAAAAAAAATTACTGGTAACTTCAAAGCTGACAGCAAAGAAGAATCTATTACTTCTACATATGGCTTCAAACATATTTTAAGACACTTTTTTTAATATGATAAAGTGAAATACCAACTGTAATGCCAAGAACTTACAGATCATATTTTGTAAGCAAAAGTACTCTTAAAATTACATATATTTTAGGTGAGACTCTCAGAAGCATTGCAGAGTTCTAGCAACTCTTCCACCACTCCTCAGAAAGAGACGATGATGTGGCAGTTCTGAAGGGTGGAAAAAATGTGGGACGCATGTGCAACGCCCAGGAATAGTGGTACACGTGAAGGACCACACATTGTCCAGCCTTTTTCATTTCTTTTGAGTTCTTACCAGCTAACAAGGAATAAAACCGTACAAGTCATTTTCAAAATACAGTTTTTAAAAATCTTTGACACAGTCCTTTAAAGTTATGCTAGCCACTAAATAGCAGCTCATCGCTTCACGTTTCTTGGCCAAACTCCTCCTGGGAACACCGATCATTATCATTCATTATGCTACACAGATTGCTTAAGCTTGTAAAATGAAAAGGAATCCTAGTGATCACTTCCAACTAATGCTTCATTTTACAAACCAGAAAACCGAAGTTTATGATAAAGCCAAGTTTCCACTTGTTTTACATTTTATCATCGAAGTTATCTTTATCCCAAGTGGGAATGAATAAATCTGCCATAAAAAAAAATAAAAATAGAAAGGAGGGAGGACTCTAAGCAGACTTTTTCCAGCACATAGCATGCTTTCAATCAACACAAAATGGGCATCAAAAACCGAAGGAGGGAAAGAGGGAAGAAACAAGAGCGCTGTCCCACAGGGGCTACTTCGCTTGGGTGTAGAGGCTGACAATTAGGAAGCACACGAGGAGTTTGTTGGAAATCAAGCCTCAGGAGAAACACACAGTGATCGGCTGCTGATAAGCGAGATAGAGGACTAGAAAAAGACGCCGTAACAGAGCAGAGGCGCAGAAAGCCAGAGTCTGGTCAATGAATGAAGGCGCGCTCCGGCGTGGACGCTAAAGACACGTCAGCCCAGCGCGCGGGGCGGGAATCGCTCAGGGCGCAGCCCAGCCCGACGCCTTCGCCCCGCTCCCGCTGGGCACCCCGGGATCCGCGTGGGAGGAGAGGCCGCGGCAGGGCTGGAAGGAGCTGAGCGCGGCCGGCGAGGCGGACAACAGCCCCGGAGCCCAAGCTGCCTCCGCCTCCTTCCAACCTGCGACAGCCAGGATCCCCAAGCCGACTCCCTCCGAGGCCTTCTCCCTCCGCCTCACCTCCCGGGCCTCCGCGGAGCAAGACGGTGGCTGGGAAGACCAGCAGGAGAAGCAGCAGCAAGCGGGGGAGGAGCCTCATGGCGCAGCAGCTCCACTGTCCAGCCCCAGTCCGCGTCCGCCAGTGCTCTCGGAAGCCCGGGCGGTAATGGCGTTACTCTTCATCCGGGCTCTGCGAGGGCAGAGGCGGGACACGCACCACGCACGGCCATTGGCCACGCCCCTGCCCGGGCCCCGGAACACCGCGACGTGGCGGCTGCGCGCCGAGGGGCGGGGCTCGCTGACCACCCGCCTGCTGGAGGGATCACGTGGTCCATGTCCCGGGACTCCAGGGATCCCGCGAGAGTCGGTGGCGTGCGCTGTTCAGGGGCTGGTGACCTGCGCTTTGGCACTGGAGACCCCGCCCTCCCGTTCCAGTAAATTAGCGTCGTTGACGGTTACGTTATTGGAATGGCGAACCGCTTGGTTCTCAGCCCGATAGGCATTTAAGTAACAGTGACATAAGGAACAGGGGTTCCCTTTCTGTGGCATTTAAAAGCAAAGAAAGGGGGTGGGGATTTAGTTCCGCGGCATAAGCGCCTGCCGCGCAAGTGCAAGGTCATGAATTCGATCCCCGGTACAAAAAAAAAAAAGGGAAAAAGAGAAGGTAGCTGGGCGTGGTAGTGCGCGCCTGTAATCCCAGCACTCGAGAGGCTGAGGTAGTTGCGAGTTCGAGACCAGCCTGGGCTACAAAGTGAGCCCAAGGCCAACCTAAACTGCGTAGTGAGACCCAGTCTCAAAAAGATAACAAAAAAGAAAAAAGGGACGGTAACAATGTTTTAAAAAGAAAAAAGGAAAATCTGTTCCTATGTGCCCACAACATCTCTCATAGTAAACAGCAATTCTAAAATGTTCTTACGTGGCAATCCTGAGTTCTAAGTCACCCAGAACAGTGGCCGGCGTACTGGAGTATGTAGAAAGTACATAATGGGTGCAGCAGTAGCTTACAATTGTTTCTTTCTCATCTGTGTTGCTTTTTGGGTTCATGCAGTTAATCCAAATGGCGTCAGTGTTGGACTGCACTAATGTGAGGCATCATATGGATAATGAAATGTTAGCTTCTAAGTGTTAATTACTGTCTGTCACTTTTCCTTAGGACTCATTTTATCTTACATTCTCATGAGCTGGATTATCACTTGACCAAAGAGAGAGCAGACACATTTACCAAGGCTTCAAACACCTAACAAATGGCAGGTGCAAGTTTTGAGTGGGGCAGCAGGGTCCTGACTCCATCTGAAGCTGTTTTTCTCATGCATTATCTCAGCTTCAGGTCTCCTTGTCTTTTTGTTCTTGTCAAGGCGGTTTGGGACTTTTGCTGCCCCTGTCTTAACAATGTGGACAGAGTCAACTGAGTCCCAGTAGACTAGGTCCCCATGCCACCACTGCTGCTGTCACTGCTGCCGCCAGCAGCACACATGTGGGGAACCCCACTTCCCCTCACCCCAGGAGGCATCCTCCCACTCCACCTCTGTGTCAAAGTCACCAGGGCCGCTGACCCCACTTTACTGAGGGAAAATTTTGCTAAGTTCTCCACTAACGGGAAGAATTGCCATTCCCCACTTGTAGGCACTGTTTCCTGAGTTTCAGTGCAGACCTGCTCTTCGTCCTAGGGCTGACAGGATTGACCAATGACAAACACCTTGTTCTTTTTATCTTGTCTCTGTCTCCTTGTACCAGAAAGCAATGAAACTGTGACAGAAGAGACATCATGCCAGACTGCACCAAAGGGCTGTCACTGATTGCCTTTCCCCTTCAGGGGACTGACTTTACCTGGAGAGACGGATTCCTCCTTCACGTTAGAAAGATCTAGAAGGTGCCCTCACATGTCTCTGGGCATGTTTAGACACAACCTGAACCTGTCAGACTAACCCAGGTGAGGCTGAAGGTGGATCCTCCACTCCAGAACCTCATTGGACAATTCCTAGAGTTTGAGACTTGAATTTTAGGCAGCTATGAAAGGTGCAGCAGGGGCCCCATTCTGGATGTCACCACCATGAGGAATTCAGGGAAAACAGAAACATAACAAAAGAGAAACCAGAGAGCCCTGGGTGGTTGTCCAGTGAATATACAAAGCAGAAGCGTGTGTTTCAGGGAAGTGGAATAGTTACGGATCTGATCGCTCACAAGTTCTGCATTGCTGTGATCCCCATTCTCCCCACACAGCAGGTTCCCCCCAGTGTGTTGCAATCCTTAAGTTACGGATTGAGAATCCCTCCTAGTGGTGTGAGTCCTCCCAGGTAGTTCCCTGTGTCTTGCTGTCACCTAGCTCTTAGAAGGTATCGGTTTTCCAGAAGTGACCCATGTCCTGTCTCCTTTTATTCTGACAGTTCAGCCAAACCCACAGCTGATCTCCACTTTCGTCCTGTTATCCTCTAACTCGGTAAGAGCACAGCATTATTTCCCTTTGGCTCAATACCACTGAGGAAAGTGTCTGTTAAGAACCGGTTTTATCTCTTTATCCCCCTCTCCCCGCCCCTGCCCCCGCCCCCCCCAACTGCCTGTCCTTTGAACCTTTCCTTAACTGTTTCCTTCTCAGTGGGGCTTTCCCTGACCTCCTGACTTACACCTCCAGCCTCCTCCTCCCACACTCAGTTCCCTACCTCTCTCTGGTCCATGGCACTTCCTGCCCAATATATAGCTCATTGTGTCTCCTGTTTGTGTCCCGCTTGTGACCAGCCTGCCTCCAGAGGCTCTCTGACCCTGTGTCATGTGACACTGCCTGATGCCCAGTGGGACTCAATATTTGATGACTTAGTGAGCTATGCTACTGTTATGCCCATATGTGTGCAACCCAGTTTTGACTGTAGACCTAATATTATGGTTTGGCTCATATGTGTCCCCCAGAAGCCCATATGCTAAAGGCTTGGTCACCAAAGGAGATGACAAAACCTGGGAAGAGGTGGGGCCTAGTGGGAGAAAGTTAGGTCATTGGGCATGCCCTTGAAAGGTAATTGGGACCCTGGTGTGTCTTTCCTTTCCAGCCACCACGAGGTGAGCATCTTTGATCTACAGAGCATGCTCCCTGCCATGATACTCTGCCTGATCACAGTCCCAAAAGTGACCATGGACTGAAACCCCTGCACCGTAAGCTCAAATCAAACTTTCCTTTTACATTTTGTAACTCAGCATTTTGCTGTGCTAGTGGGAATCTCACACATTTTTTTTTAATAAAAGGAATTCCAGCAAAAAGGTAGTTTATTGTGTTCAAGGAGAGACGTTAAGTGCTCTTTCACCTATGAAGGGCTTTAAAATGAATTAAATTTTGTATACTTTCTGAGGAAAAAAAATTCTTTGTGCTCTTATGAAAAGAGGACATTATACGGGGTAAGGAGGAATTTACAAGGAGTGCTGGTGTAGGAGGGCCTTCCTGCCTTCCCCAGCTCAGACTTCGAGGAGGGAGCCGGGAAGTCACATCCACTTGACCACTCACCACAAAATCCGCCTCTTATCTGCCTCTGCACCCACAGGCTCTGCCCTTGTTTCTGTTGACATAAAAGTGTTTGTAGGACCTCAAAGCCCAGCCACCATTTGCCCTTTGAATTCCATCTCTTGGTTGAGGACGTGTTTCTGAAAACAGCACTCTTTTTTACCCCCCAGTAAATTCTCAAATTAACCACTCACATCAACACACAAATCCATACAACATTTCCTGTCATTAGAAAGCTCCCCGCTGGGATACAGCTCAGCGGCACAGTGCCTGCCTCACACTCGTGAGGTTGTGAGTTTGATTCTCGGTAACCAAGAAAGAAAAAGCTCCCTGTTTTTCTCTCATTTCCCTCTCCTTTCTCTGCTTCCTGACAGAGTAACACTGCAGGATCCCACGTCTCACGTTTCTCCAGCCTGTGCCACCAGGGCTCTTATTTGTAATACTGTGCTGAAAGTGGCTAAGTTTAATGATGCTCATGTAAGCCCCCAGCCTTCCTGAACTCCTCTCCTCACTGAACACTCCTTTCTCTAGGATCCATGGCAGCTGTACTCGGTTGGTTTCCCTTCCGCCTCAGTGGCCCCTCTGGTTTTGCCTAGCTGCTAACCGCAGGCCTGCTCGGATGGAATGGAGTTGCCAGGGAAGCCGGAGCCCCACCTGCTCATGGTCCCTGTGAAGGCCTGGAGGGCACTTCCTGTTCCAAGGTGAAGAGAGGGGAAAGAGGAAAAGGAGAGATGAAGGCTGGCTCTGGAGGCCAGAGCACAGGAGAGGCTGTCCTACAGCCAGGCCGGCGTGATAGGGATGAGGGGATGAGACAGAGGCCAGGCAGAAAGAAGTCACCGTGGGCAGGGAGGGCTGCAGGAGAGGAGAGAGGTGATGGGGAGTGGCCAAGGGGACATCGGATGAGAATAGTTAATAAAATGCATTCCTAGAGGCAAAACAGGAGCACTCAACAAGGAGACACCATTGCTTCATTTATACCATGAAAGAAATCAGGAAAGGCCAGAAGGCTGAGGGCAGTCATCCCAATAAAAAGCTATGATCTCGTTGTGGTCTTTAAAGCCAAATGTTTGAATTTAGAACTCCAGCATGACAGTATGAAGAGGCCAGGCCTTCAGGAGGTGGTTAATTTATGAAGACAGAGCTCTCATGAATGGGATTAGTGGCCTTAAAAGGGCTGGAGGGAGCAGGCTAAGTCCATTTGTTCTCCCCACCTGTCCTTTCTATCCCAGTAAGACAGAACATCGTCCTCTGTAGTAGGAAGCAACGGAGCACCATTGTGTAAACAGAGACAAGCACCCTCAGCGGGAGAAGCTGCTGCTGCCTGGAGCTTGGACTTCCAGATTCCAGGACCGTGAGAAAAGAAGTTCTGTTTGTTATAAACCACCCAGTATCTCATAGTCTGTCACAACAGGGACAGGCTGAGAGACAGATCCCTCACTCAACTGGGCCTGAGCCAGTTCTTGGTCCCTGAACCCAGAAACTGGGGAGAAGCCAGCTCGTGGGAAGGACAGCCCCGGTGACACCACAGCGCTCACCGTTCAGGCTCACAAATTGAAAAAAGAAGAAATTCCAGGCGTTTGGAGGCTGTTGGACACAGATATGAGTCAACATTATATTCAGAACCTCGTGTGCCGGTATGCCCTTGGCAAGTGATAGGACACGGAAGCCAGGTAGTAAATGGAGCTTCAGCCCCAATCAAGATGACAAGGGGCCCTTCAGGCCACTAGATGCGCCCACACCTGGCCTTCAGAACAACAGGTGGGATGAATGGGTGTACTTGATAGTTGAAAGAACCCTCATAGTGGTTCCCGGACCGGACCGGACCGGAGGGGATAACATAGGAGTAGGTTATCATACAGAACCTGCTACCCCCACTATTCTCTGTCAAGACAGTAAGTTAAAAATATAACAAAGGTGTTGGGGTACAGCTCAATAGTAGAGTGGGTATATGGCCCTGGGTTTACTCCCCAGCACACACACACACACACACACACACACACACACACACACACACAAAATGGAGGAAACACCCTGGGGAATCATAGCAGTGTGGGTTGCCCCCAAAGGGATAATGGTCACCACTAAATCCCAGTTTAATTTACCTACAGGTATCTACAAAAAACAGATAGCTGGTGGCAGTGCAATTCTAGAACTTTCCCAAGTAGTTGCACAGTGCCTCAGGCTTTCCAGAAATTGATCACAAATTTGAACCTGAATCCTGATTCCACGTCACACGTGCTCATTAATATTCTTCCATACTGTCCCCCTCACCCTGCTTTCATTTAGGGAGGAATGTCCCGGGTGCCCTTACGACAGTCACAGGCGCGATGCAGGACAGGGGTATGATTTTCCCTAAAACCCGAAGGACAGAACTGTTAGAAAGATGAAGAGCCAGGCAGTGGAGGGGGAAAAGGGACATTTAGTGGCCAGGGGAGAGCATTCCTGGAAAAGATAACCAAAATAGGGAAGACGATGAATGTTGGATTATGGGATGAAGACAGAAAAACCTGTCCGTGAAACAGAACTCAGTGATGCACGGTTACCTAGCTTTTCCAGAGGACAGTCATGGGTCACCACGCTCTCTCCTGCACGGTGGCTGCCTCACACTGTAGGCACTTCTTTTCCTAGTGGCCCAAACCCTCTCTGTTTCTTTCCCCACCTTTAATCAAACTTTGCTACAGTTTAAAAAAAAAAGAGCTGCAAAGACAGGCACTATGGCAAAAGTTATCAGAAGCACTCTGAGAGTCAGCAGCCTGCTTCAGATACTACACGTAAAGGTGCTTTATACACTGTGAATCGCAGAATGTCAGAGGAATACCAGGAGGTGAAAAGGAGAGACTTGTTGGCATCAGCAGGAGCTTGAATGGAAGGCTTGTTTAAGGCTAGGATAAGAATTTGGTCAAGAATTAGAGAGATTTGAGAAGGTGAAATGTGTGATGGCGCGAGTTATCAAGGTGAGGTGCAGTAGGTCGGAATCAAAGGACGGAGGAACACAGGGGAAGGCAAGGATGCTGGGGCACTCAGGGATCACACCTTGTGCCACTGTCTGGGCTGCGGGGAGCCAGCCCCAGCCCTCAGCTGCCCTGAGTGTGCCCATCCTGACTCCATCTTCCAGCCTTGAAGAGGAGGCATCTCTGTCCCTAGCTTGTGCCGCGGAACCTCCTGTTTTCCGGTCAGTTACCCCTGATCTCCATTCTGTTCCCTGCCCACTGCAGCCTTCCCCACACGCATGCACCCGCACATTGAACATCCCCATGCAGATGTTTCACAGTAACCTCAAACTCACGGAACCTCTCCACGAGATCCCGTGGCCCCTCGTGTCTTATTTCCGTGAAGACAGCCACCATCCACCGGGAACACTGCTGGGCTTGCTGGACCCTCTGCCCCCATTCCCATGGCCAACCAAGTTCCACACTTTTCCACCTCACCCTTGAAACCACTGTGCATCCTTTTTTAAAAAAAAATTTTTTGGTGGTACAAAGAATTGAAGCGTTTTTATTTTGAGGCAGGGTCTCACTGTATATAGCCTAGGCTGACCTCCAACCTGAGATCCTCCTGAGAGTTGCTGGGATGACAGGCCTGTGCCCCACAGTCTGCCACCTCTGCAACCTCAGTTCCTGGCTTCAGTCCGTCCTGCTTGGCATGCCATGGGAACAGCATCACACCACCTGCCTACCCCACTGTTATGGATTAAAAACTGGTGGTCAACTTAACACCTGAGTTAAATCAGCATGGTGCTGTGCATCAATATACCACCTTAGGACAGTGGCCAGCATAGAGACATGGAGAAGAAGAGAGCGAGGCATTATGGGTTTCTCTAAGTGTTGCTGTTTTGAGCCACTGGTTCTCCAGGAGGAGCTCGTCCTGATTAGCTTCCCCAATAAGAGTTTGACCGTTGTTATCAGAGAGGCTCGGGAACTGGGTGAAAGTGGCTGTGGTTCACTTTGGGGGAGCTCTGGTCCTTACATCGAGCATCGCTTCCTGGCTCCAGAGGGGAAGACAGGTGCTGTTTAATCTCCAGGAGAAACTCGTCATGCTGGCTTCCCGGCATGTACTTGACTGTTCTTATCATCAGGGGAGCTCGGGACCTCTGGGTCTCTGAGGATGACTGTCGTACTTTTCAGGACGGCTCTGGTCCTTATTTTGAGCCTGACTTCTCAGCTCCAGCATAGAACCCTCAACCCACCAGCACAGCTCCTTCACCCTGCTGGCATAGACTTCCTAGCTTCCACTGCTGACCTTTGGGTCTTCTCAGCACAATTCCTAAAAGAGACTGGTGTGAGTCCTCATGGGCTCTAGACCTCCAGTTGGACTCGTGGGAGGCACTGTCATGAGCTCCAGGTTTTCAGCTGGACTCATGCAGGATATTGCTGTGGGATCCAGGCCCTCGGCTAAATATTCTATCTTTAGTGTTGTGGACAGACTTCCTGCACTTTCTTGTGTTTAACTCTGGGTGACCATCATAAAACAGTATTATAAATTCGGTGTCCTGATTCTGATTGTTCTCCTCACAACCCCTGACTACGACATCCACGTGTCATTTAGTGCTGCCTGTGATCATCCTCCCCTCCTCCTCTGTGAAGATCCAGGCTTCAGAACTGCTGTGGCTCCAGGCACAGAAAAAGCCAACTTGAGTGCCCAAGCACCCTGGCTTTCTTCTCCTATCTGGAGAGCACCTCGGTGATGCTGGAGAGCACCTGGGTGACACTGGAGAGCTGGTTCTGGCTCAGATGTGGGCCCTATGTGAAATCTCTCCTGAGGATTTTCTCACATGGTCCAGGGCCATTTCCCATCAGCTTCCAGTCAGTCACATGATACCCGGGTCTAGAACGACACACATCTCTCTCCCCAGGATATCACGCAGTCCTTAAGGTCCTCGCCCCATTTTTCCTCCCATCCTTGGCACCTGACACAGAGCCTATCACACACGTTATTGGAAGTCATTAAATGTTTATTGAAAGAAGGACCGGCTTAAACTCTATACCCACTGCCATGTGCCGACACAGGCACATTCATTTTGAGTTAACCTGTAGGTAAAGGAATACAACAGCTGCCTTCTCTTACTATGTTATATTTTCTTCTACAGGATCCCATGGAAGCGTTAAGTTGAAACTTGAATCATTTCAAAGCTTTCAAAGCTCAGGAGCTAAGTTCTAAAGGAAACACTGCTATAGCTGCAATTCATGGTGCATTTCTCAAGTTTAACTTATGTCCCAGCTTTTAATGTGCTTTAAAGGTCCTAAATTTAAGTCATTTATGTTTTAGCTTTAAGACCCACATATCTAGCCAGACATGGTGGTTCACACGTGTAATTATTGCTACTCAGGTCAGAAGGCTGAGGCAGGAGAATTACAAGTGTGAGGCCTGCCTGGGAAACTTACTGAGACCTTGTCTCAGAAAAATATACACAGAGTGGGCTAGGGGTGTGGCTCAGCCGTAGAATGCTTGATTAGCACGTGTGAGGCTCCAAGTTTGATCCCAGTCAAACTTTCTGTTTTTAAAGTGAGTTCACTGAATTGCTGAGCATGATAATGCCAGCTTGCAGGCTGTCTGAGCCTCCTCTCCCTCACCTGCCTCTCCTATCCAGAGCTCTCCAGTGCCCCAGGCCAGCTCTACCCTGCTCCAGCTGCCAGGCTACCATCTGAGGCCCTCTGGGGTGCCCTTCCAAACAAGTAATCCAACTTTTTGAATTTGAGCAATTAACAGAGTTTGTTTCCACATTATACATATAGAATTCCTCAGCGAAAGTCACAGTGATAATAGTTTTTATTTATTCAGCACTTCCTGAAGGACCAGTTATATATCTATAGATCTTTTCCTCTGATTAAATACAATTCTAGTGAAATAAACGTATATTTTAATCAACGCTATACTTTCAGCATGGTCTTGGATGTATCGAAAAGCTAATCTGTGTGTCATGTATATGTTTATTTTCCTGAGGTACAAAAAGGTCTCTGAATCCTTTGTTTCAATTTAGAACTTACCTCAAAACCCATGTTAAGAGAGAAAATAGAAGGCTTACATTTTAAAAGATCAGTGCTCTTGTCTCATCTGGGATTTAATTTCAAACGACTTCAGAGCCGCTGCATTTTAAAATTGGCTGGTCGTAGGAAGAACTGCCTGTTTGCCTGGAGAAAAGAAAGATGTGTTGCAGGGAAAACAAAATGTCCTTAAGTTCACAACTATTGGGGTGCATCATTAGAGGCCCGATAGGCTGTAACCCCAGCACTCGAAGAGGCTGAGGCACAAGGCTCAAAGATTTGAGCCCAGCTTATACAACTTCATGACTTAAAATATAAATTACAGAAGGGCTGCAGATGTGGCTTAGTCCTGAAGGTCCTGGGTTCAAGCCCCAGCACACACATGCAAGGAAATGCCTGATCACATGGTATTCTGGAGGAATATTCAGAAGTTACCACATTCACATGTCTATGTGGAAGTAGAACATGTTTGATTTTCACTGGAAAAAATTTTTTAAATTTTACATTTTGGGGGCTGGGGATTTAGCTCAGCAGCATAAAACGCCTGCCTTGTAAGCAGGCAGTCGTGAGTTCGATCCCTGGTACCGATAAAAAGGAAAAAGACAAAAAAAACAAAACAAAAAAAAAATTTTACATTTTGGGCCAGGGATTTAGCTCAGTGGTATAAGTGTCTACCTGGCAAGTGCAAGGTTGTGAGTTCGATCCCTGGTACCAAAAAAAAAAGAAAATACAATTTACATTTCAAGTTTTTGGAATGTAGGACTTCAGTGTTTACATGTAATTTAATACATCATTTTATGAATTAATTGGAGTGGTATACTTAGTAATGATTTTTCCTGGAGTGGTTAAAAAAATGACTAGTACTTACTCTTTAGTCTTATTTAAGCTAAATCATTTCTATCTCTTTTTAAAACATCTTGCATTTAAAAATGAAAGGAAAAAGCCAGGCATGGTGGTGTATGCCTGTAATCCCAGCACTTGGAAGGCTGAGGCAGAAGGATCTCAGTTTGAGGTCAGCCTGGGCTACATAAGAGAGTTCAAAGCTGGCCTGAGACATAGGCTGACCCTGTCATAGTGAGACCTTGTCTCAAAAAACAAACACACACATACACAAAGAAAGCAAAAGGAAAACATAAGCGGCAGTAGTGACAGTATTCCTGAACAACTACTTTGTTTTTGAGACAGGATCTTGCTGTGTACTGCAGGCCTCTGTGCCTGGTGCAAGAGTGCCCGTTTCTCCTTGTAGCCATGCCTGAAAAGTTCCTCTTCCCTAGCCCTCCTCTGCAACTCCCACCAGCCTCCCTGATTGATACCAATAAAAGCCATGAGCACTTGGATTCACTGCCCTTTGTTCCACAAAGAACCTTGGTCATACAGAGCTCTTCTTCAACGGCAGAACTTTCACTGGCTTTCTTTTGCATCTGGGTGCTCTACAGCCAGGCAGGAGACTGACAGCCTCTCCTGGTGCACACCTGTAACCCCAGCATTCTGGCCAGCTGAGGTGATGTACCTAGCCTGGGTATTTGAAGACTTAGCAAGATCTTGTCTCAAAAAAAACAAAAACAAATAGGCCACAGCATTCATGAACCATTTCTGGGAGGGACAAGAGTGTTGGCAGCTGTGTTGTTTAGCAGCAAAGTGGAGCTTTGGCCTTGTCCTCAAAGCTAACACTCCTTACAATAGGGAGGTGCCTGGAGACACCAACATAAAGGTTCACGAGAGAATTCCTGCACCAGAAGAGCTGCGCCAGGCCAAGGCACAGGACGGGACATGCAGGCAGAGCATGTAAGGCCACACAGAGGTGCTGTTGTTTCAAGGGTACCTCCTGTGCAATGGGAGGAAGCCAGTCAGTTCCCTCTGGGACAAGGCAGGATGCAGGATTGTGTGGTGGGGACCAACACATGAACAAGAGAGAGAGAGAGAGAGAGAGAGAGAGAGAGAGAGAGAGAGAAGTGTAACAGGATAATAGGAGCTGCACAGGCAATAACAGGAAGGCAAAAAATAACACAGCAGGTTTGCAGACCTGCTGGCAGTTAGATATGGAGAGGGAAGCGAGAGCCACACCCCCAGCTGCATGGGGACCCAGGATGCCTTGGGACCATCATGCTTTGCTTCTGAAAGCTGAACCTGTCCAAGCCAGGTGCAGGGGAGCAAAACCAAAGAGGGAAACACCAGCGAGGCACTGGCTGTGGCAGATCAGCGGGAACACCAAGCAGGCTTGAAACAGGAGTGAGGGGACCCGTGTGAGCAATGCTTCAGACAAGAAAAGTGACAGCTCAAACTACGACAGGTGGCACGAGAGGCCCACACTAGAGGACAGAGAAGGCAACCTGATCCCCGCCAAAATGCACCTTAGGAAGCCGGCCTGTGTTATTGGCAGGTCACCGGAAAAAACAGCAGTCTCTATCCTGTCTCTCAGGGTGACCACTGAGGTCACGGTCTTGGATGATTTTCTGATCTTGGTCTGCGGGAAAGAGAAAGAAAGTAAACTGTGTGAGAGAACTAAAATAGTGAACAGGTGAAAAAACATGTCATTTAGCACATCCCTCCTTCACTTTCAAGAGAATTACTATCTGGACCCCAAAAGATTAAGATAAAGTTGTTTTTTTTTTTTTTTAATATTGGGATCAAATCCAGGGATTTGCACATGCTAAGGAAGTGCTCTTCCAGGGAGCTACAATACCAGATCTTTCCTTTCCTCTTTTTTTTTTTTTTTTTCAGTTTTAAAACAGGACCTCACTAACTTGCCTAGACTGGCTATGTATGAACTCATGGTCATCCTGCCTCAGCCTCGCAAGTAGCTGGAAAGTTAAGCCTTTTGGGGGATGTACTTGAGGGTTATTCTCAATGCACTCGAGTACAAGTCCTGAGCCAGCTTCTTACATTTAGCATCACCACAGATCTGCTTAGGAGAAAGCTGTGACCTGGGACCTCATGAATTTCCTTGAAAGTGATGAAGAACAGCGGGAAAAATCAGACACTGGAGGCTAATAAGTTGCATCGTTTCCATTACAAAAGATGACCAGCCCAAGCCGCACTGGGGATCTATGGGGAGACCGAGGCAGTCTGGAGCCTGCTCACCAGCCCAATGCATGGGACTGCTGCTCCAGCACTGCAGTGGCTGAGGGCTGCAGGAGGCCACCACAGCTGCAAAGGGACCTAGAGGTCCCTTGATTCAAGGCCGGTCTACATCTGCACAAAAGCCTCCAATCCATCATGGCCTCACGTGTAACTAAACAAATATGTCAGCTGGCGAATTATGTACATTTACATACAACTGTTATTAATTAAAATAATTCTAAGACACTCCTTATATCCTCTGCATGATTTGAAGACCACATTCAGCTAAAATCAGCATTTACCGAGCATTTAGGATATAGCAGGCTTTAGAGCACATCACATTCTCTCTTTTATTTTTCATGCTGAGGATTGAAGCCAGGGCCTCCACTTTCCAGAGTACTGGGGTGACAGACGGGAGTCACTACAGGTGGCTCACAGTGTTATGAGACTGGGGATCCAGCTCAGTGATAGAGCGCTCCTCCAGTAGATGGGAGGCCCTGGGTTCCATACCCAACACTGCATAAAGAAAGGAAAGGAAGGGAGATGGAGGGGGGGTGGAGAAGACAGGGAGGGAGGGAGGAAGAGAAAAACATCAACTATCATAAGGGATGGTTTAAGGCTGCTCCGGGTTTTTATTTTTAAAACATTGTTGTATTTATGAAAAGTAGGCTGGCTGGGTGTGGTGGCACAAGCCTGTAATCCCTGCACTCAGGAGGCTGAGGCAGGAGGATTGTTGCAAATTCGCCAGCCTGGGCTACAAAGAGAATTCAAGGCCAGCCTGTACTGCATAGGGAGACCCTGTCTCAGACAAACAAACAAACAAACAGGAAGGCTGAAGGAACATGACTCTTGACATAACTGAAATAAAACCTTAGCTACTATCAAAGACAAGCGACAATGTGATCACTATGTGTATATAAAATGTACCAATACAGGGCTGGGGATTTAGCTCAGCGGCATAAGCACCTGTCTTGCAAGCAGGTGGTCGTGAGTTCGATCCTCGGTACCAATAAAAAAAATAAAAAATAAAATAAAATAAAATGTACCAATACAATCTGATTGAAAAAAAGAATGCTCTTTGACCAAAATGATGGGAAAAAAAGACAAATGATAAGAAGTGCTGGTGAGGATGTGGGGAGGGACCCTCGCACACCGCTGGCGCTGGCGGGAGTGTAAATTAGTGCAGCCTTTACAACAAACAGCACGGAGGTCCCTGGAAATATTAACTGGCGATGCTGTGATGCCAGCTCATAGCGTGGGGTCCTCACCCGGAGGAAATGAAATGGGTGCATCACGTCACGGTGGCATCTGTGCTCCCGCGTTTGCCGCGGCGCTATTCGTGACCACTGAGAAGTGAAGGCACTCAGTGTCCGCCCGATGAGGAGCCCACAAACACAATGCAGTGCCCACACACAGTGGGGCCCAAGCGTGAAGTCCTGCCATCCGCGACAGTGCGGGTGGGACTGGAAATCATTCTGTTAGAGTGAAATCAGCCACACACAGCAGACGGGCACTGTGTACTCTCACTCATACATGGGGCATAAGACACAGGGCCCCATAGGAGTGGAGAGTGGGATGGGGGCAGAGGCTGCCTGGGGGTGCTGAGCTATGGTTAGGAGGAGGAAGTCGAGGTGCACTGTTACTGCACCATGGTATGGTGACTATCAATAATGTGCTGAGTATTTCAAAAAACTAGGAGGATTTAAATGTTTGCACCAATGAAATACAAATGCCTGCCTACCATGTGTGAAGCCCCAGGCTCAATTTGTAACATCACAAAATTTTTAATGCAACTTTAATATTTGTCTCCTGTTTTTACTTTAAACCTTTTTTTAAAATTTTTTTTTTGAGCCAAGGTCTTGCTATGTAATTTAGGCTGGGCTCGAGCTCCTGACAATCCTCCTGCCTCAGCCTCCCAAGTACTGTGATTACAAGGAGGTGACACTTGCCCGGCAAGATACTGGCATTTTTTTAAAAAGAAAGAGAACCTACCTTAGTTTTCTGGCTCTCTCCGTGGGCCTTCTAATTAAATCTTCCAAATACTTATTTCTTTCTTCCAAACTGAAGGAAGAAACAATTGAATTTTATGACTGAACAGGACTTTTCTAGGTGAATACACTGCAGATCCCCTGAAGGGTGTGAGCAGATAAAGCTAACTGGTAATCTAGCCCTCATCCTTGCCTCCCCCACCCAGCTCACTGCACAGGACCTTAGGGTTCTTTCCTAACAACTCAAATTTCAACTCAAAGCTCAACTTTCCCCATTACAGATTGCAGTGGTGCAGAGGGGCAACCGGTGGTAGCAAACACACAAAGCACCATTCAGATATTCTCCTATGGCTTTCGGAGAATGGATCCGTCTGTGTGAGTAGACCCAGCTTGGGGACAGCTTGTTAGAAGCACAGCCCCGAAGCCTCCAGCCGTTTGCCGCAGGAAGATGTGCTGGGGACTCACAGCCTTGCTGCGTGGCTGACTTGTGTGGTTTCTAAGGCTTTAACCAGACAGATATCACTGTGCTCTGTTGTTGGCCCAAAAGGGCAAATTTGGTTAGGATTTCCTCCCCAAACCCATTTCCCACTCAGGGAAGTGTGCCAGTCTCCAGCGACTGCTGCCAGGCAGTAGCACAGGAACTTAGAACAGCTCACAGCTGCCTCCGGGCCATGCAATCTAGCAGCACCTCTGAGCCCTGCTTCCCCGCCATGCCATCCCTTCGGTCTTCTGCCGTCAGCTGTCTCTCCACCTCCCATTCCATTAAGATACCTGGGGCTCCATTTACAGTGCACCCAGATAATTCAAGACCATCTCTTCATTTCAAGACCCCAGTGTAATTGGATCTGCAAAGACTCTTTTGCCGTTTGCCAGATCTTGGGTTAGGATTTGGATCTCCTGGGGGCCAATCTGCAGCCTACTGTGGAAAGCACACAGAGGAACAGACTCCTAGAGGAAGTGAGATTCTACAGAAGCTGCACATGCTCGGGCAGGTGCGTGAAAGGAACGAAGAAACCGGATGGCGATTCCCACAAACCAAAGAGCATAAACTCCTACATCCTAGCTGAAGTAAGAAAGGACCACCCAGCTCTTGCCAAGGCTCACTACATGGGAATGCTATAGCGATGTCAGATCTGTTTGTCTTTAAAGAAGAGATGGAAACTGAAAATTTTCAGTAGGATATCTCCCTTTTCAAATTTTGTCAGTTAACTTAAAAATATCTTAAACATTATGTGGACAAAACAGAACACATAAGCCCCAGAGTACAGATGATAGATTATCGTTTTGCAACCCATACCATTTTGTCCAGAGATACCAGGCTTTGCTTTCAAAGGATATGTTAGTCATTTTTTCCATCACTAGGACAAAAAAATCTGACACCTGCAATTTATAGGAGAGAGGTTTATGCCAGCTGACTGGCTCCAAAGCAGAAATGGCTTCATCAGCGGGGCTGGCGTAACACTGCTCAACACATCTCAGCCCGGAAGCAGAGAAACGAAGAGCCGGGAGAAGGAGGCAAACATCCCTTGTTTAACAACCTACCTGTTTAGCGACCACTCAGACGTAGAACACACTTTTGTACAGTCCAGTATATCTTGCTTATAGAGACTCAGTGTGTCTTTTGCACAGTATACCTTTATACAGTTCTGTAATTTTTACTGACTACACTGTACAGTTCTGACGTTTTATGCCCTGTTATTTATGTCCTATCCACTACAATACTGCATGGAAGAGTTATGCAAATAAAAACAAAAGTCATCAACTTGGAGATTTCTTTGACTATTTCTTTGTTCTGAATATTGTAATATACATACTGCACACAATTCCTCACTTAGAGACTAATCATTGGACAACTAGTCACGGGAGCATAACTTGATCATTCCACGAGGAACGTCTGCAGGCTCTTCTGGGTCACACACCCAGTCCCTGCCTCAGCTCTGAACACGTGGGATGCGGGGGGACTTCTAAGTCTACACCATAGCTCAGGGGACAGGAAATGAGTGTCTAAGGAAACACAAACGCGTCTGGACAGATCTGGAGGATGGCCGGAGGTAACTGGGGAAAGCCTGAGCATTCCACATCACACACATACAGACGCCAACAGCCAAAGGGGACATGAGACATTTGAGAAACTCCATCAGCAGTGTGGCTAAAAGCCAGCCATGGGACAGCAAGGAGGCACTGGGAAGGCGGGCAGGAGCCTGGCCATGAAGAAACTCATGGGCCACATGAAGACTTTCTGGTATTTTATAGAGTGCAAAACAGAAGCGACCTAAGTAGGGAGCAGGAAGAAGTTCAAACTCTGCCCCAAGCGACCTACTCTGTTGTTTCAAAAGTTGTGGTTTCATTTATACTACGTTTATTTAGTTCATTGAAAAGAAAGTTTTGTGTTATTTGGTTCTTTGTAAGAATCTTTTTGGTTGGGCTGGGGGTTTAGCTCAGCAGCATAAGTGCCTGCCTGGCCAGCATGAGGTTGTGAGTTCCTTCCCCAGTACTGGAGGGAAAAAAAAAAAAAAAGACTCTTTTTGGTCTATATCTCCTTCTCCGAGTAATTACTTTGAAGTTAGTGATATACAGAGGGTTTGTTTGGGGGTTTTTTTGGTCTTTTTGAGACAGGCTCTTGCTATACAGTTCAGGCTGGCCTTGAACTCATTTTGTAGCCCAAGCTGGTCTCAAACTTGCAATGATCCTGATCCTCTTGTCTCAGCCTCCCGAAAGCTGGGATTATAGCGCATCACATACCGGGTTGAAACACAGTGTATCAACTATTACCATTGTCTCATTTTATTATGAATTTTTTATTTTTTCATACAGTAAAAATGAATTTTTGATCCGAAAGTGATAGAGGCCTCTCTTTCTATGAGACAGACGGCTGACCTTCCAAGGTTTCAGGTTAGATACCAGAGACCACGCGTCCCTGTCAAGTCTCAGCCACGCCGCTTTGACAGAGCAAAGATGGGTTTTGTCAAGGAGTGCTCTTCAAGCATCTTTTCCCGCCTCAGGAATGTGGGGTCAGGAGCTGGTGGGGGTCACCGGGTAAAGTACGATGCAGAGTGGAGGACCTTTGCCACAGTCATGGCCATGAGAATGAGCACACGACACCAACCAGGACAATGGCTGCGTCCACAGTGTTCCATATAGCCCAGTCTTAGTACGAAAACAAGGGCTTTTCTTCTTTAAAAAAAAGGTAATAAGGGGCTGGGGATTTAGCCCAGTGGCATAAGCGCCTGCCTTGTAAGCAGGCAGTCATGAGTTCGATCCCCGGTACCGATAAAAAGGAAAAAGACAAAAAAAAAAAAAAAAAAAAAAAAGGTAATAGATGGCCTGGGGTTTATCTCAGCAGCACAAGTGCCTGCCTTGCAAGCACGAGATGGTGAGTTAGATCTCTAGTACCAAAAAAAAAAAAAACCTGGCGAAGGCTGGGGATGGAGGCACAGGCTGTCACTCAGCACTCAGGAGGCTGAGGAAGGAGGATTGCAGACTGCAGTGAGTTCAAATCCAGTCTGGGCTTCCTACGTGAGTTTAGGACCACCCTGCACTGCGAAGCGAAACCCTGTCTCAACGGAACAAAAAACAATTACAGCACATCCAGTGCATACAGAGAATACTGTAAACTTGGAGCACGACACTTTAAATGCTGATGAATTTTAACAGATTCTACAGACCAGCACCAAGTTAGAGGACAGCTGCTCTGATGATGTCTCTCGTAATTTTTGAAACAATATACATTTTAATGACATGAAAACTAAATTACTCTAATATTTAAAAATTATTTTCCTGGATATAATAGACTATATTTAGTTTTAAAACGTATGACAACCCTGACCACTAAAGCAAGTCAACTCACGTAACATCTGGCAGTGGTCCTCAGCCTGCCTGGATGCTAGAATCACCTGAACAGCTTGCGACTGCACTGACGCCTGTGTCTGTCCTGGGATTCTAGCTTATGTAATCAAGGAGTAGGCACTAGACACTGGCATTTTTCAAAACACACTAAAGAGAATTCCAGTAAGCAGCCACAAATAACATGTTTTTCCAGTACTGGAGATGGAACCCGGCCCTGAGCTACAACCTTAGCCCTTGTCCCCTACTTCTTAAAAAATAAAATTTCTTTTTGAGGCAGGGTCTGAATGATTAAGTTACCCAGTCTGGGCTTGAGTTTGTGATCCTCCTGCCTCAGCCTCCCAAATGCTGGGATTAAAGGCATGCACTGCCATGGTTGGCTTGATAATGCTTTTAATAAAGCTTACAATATTCGGTTGCCACCTCTTAAACTGGATCAGTCTCTTAATTGAAATGTACATTTAAAATTTTTTAAACTTTAAAAATAACTGGGACAAGACAACATGGCCAAAATGATAAGTTAAATGTTGTTTTTAAAACCTTAATTTTAGTTTTTAGTTTGGCTATTCCACAAGTCCATGATTACTGAGCACTGACCGAATTTTCAGGGCTCTAAGTTGGGGAAGACTCCAGCCTTACTCCTCAGAACATCATACCCTCCCCCAATGTCAATGCAAAACTTGCCTGCATTAGTCTTGGAAAACAGAAGAGCTGTTTACCATTTGTTCCTTCATAATGACAGTGAAAATCAAAAGCAAACAAAGCTACTGATCGCTATATTCCAATTACCCTGCAATGAAGGAGTCCTAAGGAAGTTCCTGATCTCAAGTGGGCTTTCCTTGTAAGGAGAAGCCTTTCCCTAAAGGGTTAGTGACAGCCAGGAAGCACAAGTGAAACTGGGGCGGGGTGAGGGTAAAATAAGCAGCAATTAAAAGTGGAAAATGGCAAAATTTATGAACACTATTTTTGGACTGTTTCAAGCTGAATTTCATTCCAGGGAGAGAATTCAGTTCTTTCTTCATACATGTTTACTTTTGTATGCACTCAGTAACTTTTTGGGAATAAATTGTAATCACTGAAAAGTTATTTTACGTGAATATTCTAATACTTTTGGATGTTTCTTACTAATTCCTTCATCACCCCCTAAAACTAAGAGGCACTCTGATCAAGGAAGATAAAAATTTGGTTGTTGAGCTGTTTTAAGCAGCTCAGACAATAAACAGACTATATGCACAGAGGTTAAATCTACAAATCCTTACTTTGCTTGTTTCTGGGAGTCAGAGGAAATGAACTCAGAAGCCAGAGAGTGAAATAAAATATTAGTCAGTAGTCATAAAATTGAAAGCAAAGTTTATCAACTTACTGCACGATCTGGGAATGGGATCCCTGGAGCCTTTGGTCAGCACATTTGATAATTTCCTCATATGACGCAACCTTGAAAAAATAAGCTGAACAAATCATTCCTTGACAAATTCTAGTGTTCTAGTAAGCATTTTTTGCATTCTCTTTTTTAAATCTCTGCAAGTTAGAGTTTAGTAACTTAACTATACCAATGAAAATTTCCCAACAGACAAAACATTCCCCTTAGATTCTGAGATGAGAAATATGAGGAATGATGGAATCATGTCTGTTCATCACATCCAAACTGCAGACACCTGTAAGAACCAGCAAACAGCAAGTCTGCCACACAGTGGGCTGAGGGTCACTGCAGCAACGAGCCTATTTGGTTAAAACCAAACTGGAACGCTAACTTGGCAAGGTTTATAATTACTCTGAAAGCAAAGCAGCAATGCTAAGACTTCAGACCACCTGCAGCAGGATGGACAGACACACCGCTCTCTGCTAGCGCCCAGGACAGTGCCCTTAAGAAGGGAGAGGCAGCAGTATAAACGGGCCACATCGAACCTCAGGTGCTCTTGGTATCTGAAACAGGTTTAAGAAGGGCAAAGATTTCTGCAAGAAAATGTGTACCTTACTTATTAGGTTTCCTAAGTGTCTCTGATACGTATCATTCTCCTCAATGAGTTTGTTGCAGTGATCTTCTTTCGACTCTACAAGGATTCCCAGTTTTTTGATCTACAGAGAAACATCAGTGAAAAATTAACATGAAAAACATCTTGAAATCTAATATGGATGTTGAGAACAAAAGAGGTCCTGAGCTCTTTGTTTTAAAAATAGGGTGGGGGGGTTGCCGAGGATCAAACTCATGACCTCACACTTGCCAGGCAGGTGCTTATAATGCTGAGCTAAAACCCCAGCCCTGGTAGGGTCTTATTCTATGTTGCCCAGGTTGGTCTTGAACTTGTGATCTTCTTGCCTCAGCCTCCCAAGCACTGCACTCAGTGCCCAGTATCCACCTGCACTGAGTGGGACAATAGGTGATTCACGTGATGCTGTCACCAGGACCCGAACAGCTGAGCAGGAACTGCAGTGGTGTCTTATCTTCTCTCCGATCTTACACTACGAGATAACTGCAAATAACTGCAGTAATCTATTACTGCAAACATATATTTGTTTGCCCTGCATCTACTTTCTTCTCTAGAATCAATGCACAAATAAATCTGATTCTGTCTGAAGATGATCAGTGAGGTTGCTTGTGACGACACATGCTTCGCTCTGAGGAATAGTCTCACTTGCGTAAGTAACCAGAGCCTTTTAAAAATGTTCGGCTTTATATATTTCATATTCTAGTGTATGGTCTGCTTTTACTTGCAAAGAACTGCTAATACTGGGGCTGGAGATTTAGCCCAGCTGCATAAGCACCTGCCTTGCAAGTGTGTGGTCATGTGTTCAATCCCCAGTACTGATAAAAAAGAAAAAAAAAAAAAAAAAAGAACTGCTAATATTTTTAAACTTGAGATATTTTATTTTATTTTATTTTTCTCAAATCACTTTATTCAAACATAAAAAGAAACAGAAAAAAGGAGATGAATAAAAACTACAACATTTCAAAGCATTTTCGAATTATCAGGAAAAGATATTCAAAAGTTCCCCTAGCAGTTACTTTAAAATTCTGAGCAATTACAGAAGAAAAACTATGGATGTTTTCCCAGTAAATACAATGTTAAGAATGCCTTTTGATGGGGTATTACCAGAAATCAAACTCAGAACCTTGTGCTTGTCAGGCAGGTGCTTACGCCAGTGAGCTACATCCCTGGCCCAAAAATGCCTCTTACTCTCTTATTTAAATGTAGTTCGGTATCTACAGAAAAAGCCCACAGTGAGCAATGGGGACGCAAACTGGCTGCAGAAACCGCTCTTGCTTTTCTTTCTCTTACATAAATAATGAAGACAATCTCACAGGACACTTGTAAGTGAAATAACGACATGGAAAGATGAATACCACGTAGTCTATCTCCTATGTAGGTGCTAAATGAGTTCATCTAAATATAAAACTGTGATTACTGGGGGCTAGAAAGAGTGGGTAGAAGAGAATTGGGATAAAGGGCACTAGAACCAGACAGACAAATAAATTCCAGTCTTCTCTGTAACAGTGAAGTGGCTAGAGATCACAAAAATCTGCTACATATTTTATGAATAACCAGAAGAATAGAATTCAAAACTCCAAATATAAAGAAATGGCCAAGCATTAACTACGTCAGTTTGAATTCAGTACATGCTGTCTGCAAGTATTGAAAATCATACTACAGTAACTAAATTTTAAAATTGCCTGGTAACTACCCCAAGAGTACACTGTCCTTTTCTTCTGATGCTTTCCTCCCATTTCTTTGCTTCTATCTTATGGGAGACCACACCAGGCTCAGTACCAGGCTTGCAGCACGAGATCCGATGGGACCGACTGGACCAGCTCTCAGAGGACACATCAAAGGACGGCAGCACTGGACTCTGGGGCCACTGCCCCACTGCTCTGGTTCTGGGGCCAATTTTGCCTGGATGTGACTTATGATGGCTTACTTATTTCTTCAGCGTAGTACTAAGTGTTTCTTTGTCTTGAGACTGTACCGCTATGTAGTCCAGGCCGGCCCTGAACTCAACAGCGGTCTGTCCTGCAGGAACTCTCTTCTTCCTCCAAAGCACACTTTTCCCCCATGTGCTTCTTCTGCACTTCTTTTCCTTTTCTTTCTCTTATTTCTGCCCTAAAATAAATGATAACCTTTCACACCCACCAATCATCCTAAGCAATTCATCGACTGAGACAAACAAGAACCTGGAAAACTGCTCCCCCCAACCCACGACAGGATGGAAGCAGATGACACAATACGAATCTGTTTTCCTGACGATGACAAACAGCACGTATTTTGTTGTTTCCACACTTTGAATGACGTAAGTCCTATTACTGTAGGCCAAACAGAAACTAATTGTTTAAAATTTCAACGGATGAAATTGCACCAGTTTCGTACTCCGGTAGTGAATGCAGCACGGCCCCCATGCCAGTGTGTGATCATTTCAATGAGCAGATTTCTGAAGATTAAAATTCCTTAAACTTGTTAACACAGTGGCGCTGAGTATTAAAGTGACAGCAAGTAACAAAAGGCCTCTCTTACCACGGAATCCAGCTCCTCATTTAGACTGTGGTACTCCTCCAGTTTGGCTCCCAATAAGACAGGCACATCTTTCACGTTCTTGGCTTCCTCTGAATCAAATTTGGGGACCTGAGATTAAATATATCAGTGATCATTTTCAACACACAATCCTTGGGACATCTGACAATAGATACTTCACTAGTTTAATAATCCAAGAGGTGACTGACGGGTGAGTGGCTGCCATCCTAGGAGTATGCAACTTAGACCTAGAAGGACTTCACCAAATATATCCAGAGAACATAAATATCAGCGCTTGTATATTGACACATTAAAGACAATGTGTATAAATGTTAAACTTACCTTGATGATGTGATCTTGAAACGCTTTTTCACTGGCAAGTAGTTCTTTAAAAGTTGTGATTCTGTCTTTATGTTTCAGTAGCTAAGGAGCAAGAGTGTTTATATTTCAGAGGCGAGAAAATGAAAGTACATTCTACAGCATTCACAGCCAAGTCACCATGCTATGCATAGTTGATTTCTGATCTCCACGAGACACTGTGTCTTTCCAGTGCTTCGAGGAATGAGTTTGCACAGCAGGCCTAAAACTGCTGGGCTCAGAAAGGCCTCTGATCCAGGAGTTCCTGCCTCAGTTCGATTTCCAAAGCAGGTGGTTTGAACCCAGTACCTGCTGCCTCCCTGCCGGGGGCTGCAGCTGGGAGGCGCAAGGCAGAGGGCTCCTGTGCACACAGCTCCCGGTAAAACCCCCGCTTTGCCTCCAATGAGCTCCCCTGGGGGGCACTCAGTGCCCATGGTCACCTCGCCTGGCTGCGGCAGGAAGCACATGCTCTGGGAGGGCACTTGGAAGCCTGTGTCTCTTCCCTCCTTCAGCCGATTCTGCTTTGGTGACTTTTACAGAAAAAAATTAAAACTGTGATGTAAGACTGGATGCCTTCAGCCAATCCTCAAATCTGTGGGCGCTCTTGGGGCCTCACAGGAATAGCCAGTTGTTATTACCATTAGGCCATTATGTTTCTTTTCTCTAGAAAAAAAAGGTAGGGGTGGGGTGGGGCTCCCTGGTAGTGTCTGCTTAGGGTGTACCAGGCCCTGAATCTCCAGCACCACAAAAAAAGGCCATTTGTCTGGACGTGACCTATGATTACTTATCTTTTCAGTATAGTACTAATGTTTTGTTCCTTTGTTTGGAGACACTATATTATTATGTCAACATCCTGCCTCAGCCTCCCAAGTGCTAGGGATATATGTGTGTGCCACCAGGCCTGGTTTAGATCTTACCCTTCAATATTTACACTGTAAATATTGCTGGGTGTGGTGGGGCACACTTGTAATTTCAACACTGAGTCACTGGGAGTTCGAGGCCATCTGGGGCTCCCCAATGAATTCAAGGCCAGCCTGGACTACATAGCAAGACCCTTGTTTCAAAAATAAAATAAAATAAAATAAAATAAACAAACTCTAAGTATCAGTGAGATAGAATATGCTGCAAAAAAATTGTTCACTTATTTACTCATTTCTTTTTTGAAGTACTGGGAATTAAAACCACAGCCTTTGTACTGCATCACAACCCTGTTTCTTTTTCTAATTTTTAATTTTCAGACAGGGTCTAAGTGGCTAAATTGCCCAGCCTGGGCTCACACTTGCCATCTTCCTGCCTCAGCCTCCCAGAGTGAAGGGATTACTGGCACGTGTCATCTCGCCTGGCTAACATATTTATTTCTTTGTTAAGAGATGCTTCTGATATTTAAAACGGAGAAGAACCTTAAGCAAGCCTCATGCAACTAATGCTTCGACATTTTGCCAGCTTAGACAGCTTTCTCCTATCCAAGCCACCAAAAGAAGGCAGCCAAGGGGAAGAAAGTGTCCCTGCTCCAGCGACAGTGGGAAGCAAGGGCCCGAGAAAGTGGAGAGGCCCATTCAAGAAAAGACCCAAGAATTTTGTCACTGGACAGCACATTCAGCTCCAAAATGACCTCATCTGCTCTGTCAAATGCCCCCGCCATGTCTGGCTAAACGTCACCAGTTCGGCCAGGCCTTGGACAGCCACCCAGCCACCCAGCTTCTTAAGCTGGTCCAGGGCCACAGGCCAGAGCCCAAGCACAAGAAGTTCCTGGGCTGGGCAGAAAGTCACCCGCAAAGGGGGTGTCTCCAGGAAGGGACCAGCAGTCCCTTGAGCAGGGGTCAACACTGGCACCACACCGTGTAGAGAGCAAGGAGGCTCAGCTAGTGGAGATTGCATGATACAGCAGGAGGTTCGAGCCCACAGGAAGACATGCAACACTGCTGCCTTCACCCGCATTAAGCTGGAGGACAGAGGAGCTCTGGCTAAGCTGGCAGAAGCCATCACAACCCACTGCAAAGACAGACAAGAGATCCACCATCTCTGAGATGGCGACAGACATCCTGGGCCCCACATCTGGGACCACATTAGCAACGTGCAAAGGGCAAAGGCTAAAGAACTCGCTGCCAAATTGTGCTAAATGCATACCGTTGAGATTTCTGGATAGAATAATAAAACCTGTACTGGAAAAAATGAATAGCTAGAGGGCAATCTTGTACCTTTTCTGGCCCCAGCCACTTCCCTCCCGCTCACCCCCTTTGCTGAATGAAGCAGACCGCAGGCCTCAGATCAGGTCACCCTGGGACTTTTCAGTAGCCACTTGGGAATCAGCCAAAGAACAAAAATAACCGACCCTGGGCTTCTGCAAGCTCCTCCAGCGGCTTACTTCTGAAGGGCTAAGTCACTGATGTGGGAGCCATGGCTCCCTCGCATGGCTCTGCCTCCTCCTGGGTCCTTTCCTCTGCTGCTTAGCTGGGCGATGGAGACTCCCCAGGGCACCCGCAGCAAGCTTTCAGTCCACATCAATTCAGAGTAGCACAGCGCTAACTCTGCTGGGACCCAAGGCCAGCTGTGAATACGCCTGTATTCCCTGTCATTTACCATTTGTGTGTATTTCCCTCCGATCAAAAACTGACTGATGTAACATCACGTTGGCACCTCCCCTATGTACTTTCCTGATTTTATCTGTCATCTTCTATACCACCACACCAAGGAAATAGTAACTGGACAGACTGAGAGTGTCTGCTATTTCTCAGCTCCCCCCAGAAGTGTTTCCAAAGTTTCCATGGTTTCAAGTCACGCTTGACATCACTATATCATGCCAAAATAAATGGTTCTTGGGGAATCTATAGTGCCACGAAAAGCCAGAAAAGCAATCATGCCCAAGTTCCAGATGAAGGAGAATCTCTAATACACACACCCTAAAGCAGCTCCAATGCTGAATGGTGTGTCTACCTGTCTACCTAGCAAGGGGCACAGAAAGCTACTCTGATCCCCAAGACCAATTCTTCAAGGAATTCAACTGTTATGAGTGATTTCTCTGTGACACTTTTTTTTTTCATTAAACTAGTAGAATTTCTTTTCTTTTCTGAGACAGTCTTACTATGTAGCCCAGGCTGAACTTGAACTTGTAAAGTAGTTCCTCCCGTCTCAGCCTCCTGAGGGCTGGGATTACAGAAGGGCACTGCCACAGCCAGCTTTAGGATTTTTCGAATGAATAATAAAAACAGTACCTCTTTATCGAAATCTTTCTTTTTAAAATGCAGGCTCTTCAACTTCTGCAGCATTACCTCACTCATTTTCTCCCTTTCTTTGCAATGTTCAGAAAAGATGTCCTAAAGGTAAAGAGTTCGGGAAACTAGATTAAAAGATTTTTCCTGAGGCTAAATCTTAGCTAAAACAAAGCAGAAATAGGATTTGTCCGGGATCAGGAACATGACAAACCTATGTCCCCAAATGTGCCCTTTTATTTTTGGTGTTTGAGACAGGGTCTTGCTATGTAGTTCTTTCTGTCTTTGAACTCACTATACCCCAGACTGGCCTGAGCTCGCTGTGATCCTCCTGCCTCAGCGTCCCAAAGGCTGAGATTACAGGTATGTCACCATGGCTGGCTGCAGATGCACTTATAATATTGTATGTTGGTTGCCATGTCTAAACACATCAACATACTACTAGAAACTTGGAATTCTGGGTTAGCAATTCAGAATCTATCGCAATACCTTGGTGGTATCTGGCTCCATTCCTTCATCTAATTTCTCCTGTAACTGAGTAACCTCAACTTTCGGGACATAATTCTGCTCCTGACTCCTAATGAGCTGCTCTTGAAGTTGTGCATTCTCATTTTTCAGCTCACTGATCTGCTCCTCAAGTTTTACATTCTTAGCCTTCTCGTTTTCACAGAGGTATCGCAGACTTTTAACTTGAGCGGTGGATTTCTCAACCCTCAATTTCAATTTCTGTCTCTCTTCCAGGTTCTCCTTTTCACGTTTCTGGAATTCCTCCTGCAAGGATAAGAACTCTTGCTCTCGGGTCTCTTTTTCCTTCTGCAGCAGGTCCAGAGCGGAAGTGTTGGCCCTCTCGAGCCGCCCTTTGAGTTGCTGCAGTCTTTCCACTTCTCCTTCTTTCTCACTCAGGCTTCTGTCCATCTCTATGCACTGGCTTACCGATCTGTTCTTCTGCTGAACTTCAGTAATGTACCTTTCCTGTAAATGAATATAATTGGCCTTGATCTTTTTAACTTGGAGCTGTAAGGTTTCCTTCTCTTTCCTGGATTCCTGAAGATGTTTTTCAGTGATAGCTAAACTCTCTTGTAAATTCTGCAGTTTCCTGTTCATATCATTCTTCTCTAGTTTCATGTTGTATTTGTCCTCAATTAATTCTTCCATATTCTTCTCCAGCTTACTGATGATGTCAAAAAACACCGGCTGTTTGATAATCTTCATCTGTAGCTCTTTATTCTTCTTCTGTAAATGCAGGTTGCTACACTGAAGGTCTTGGATTTGTATTTGCTGCTGTCTGTTAGCATGCTGTAAACTCTGTAAGGCTTCGTTTAAAGCCATGTCCTCTTCCAAAGGCTGTAAGTTTTCAAAGCTTTGCTCCATATCAGGGATCTCACAGTTCTCCTGAAAGGCTCTAGAATCCCTGGAGAGCCTGGCTGGGCACCAAGCTAAGGCAGTCACTGGGCTTTCCAAGTCTTCTGCTAGAACTTCGTCCTGGTGACTGGCTGACATCTCAGGACTCTCCTCAGAAATTTGTATTTCTTTTGAAGAAACTTCAGTCTGTAAATCAGTAAATAAAATAAATGTGAAAGGATAGAAAGATCATGAACTTTGGAGTTTGATCTGATCTTGAGTTCCAGATTGCTAGTTTGGTTTCCTCAGCTATTAGAATAATAATACCTACTTCCAACAATATTTATGTAACAAAGTTAATACCTAAATATTAGCTGCTGAACACATGTATGTACCCAATAGCACAGCAGAACACAAGCAGTAATTATAGATATTAGATACATATTCAGACTTACTGTGACAGAAGAAAAATTTCACACTTTTCTATCAACCAAACTTTTCTGAACACATACAGAATGCTGTGACTTCACATGAATTAAAACAAGTTAATGTATTAATTAGCTTACAGACCAGAGGCTCTGTTTTAAATGAAGGCTTTTAAAATTTGGGGGTTTTTGGAGACAGGGTCTCATTATGTAGTACAGGCTGGCCTCAAACTCACTGCAATCCTTCTGGCTCAGCCTCCACATGCTGGGATTATAGCGGTAAGCAACAATGGCTAAAATTCCTCATTTAGAGCATGACGTAAAGGATCCTCCTGCCTCAGCATCCGGAGTGCTGGGATTATAGGTGTGCACCACCATGCCCAGCCTGACCTCACTATATTATGTCTTCTATGAACATCAGAATGGCAGATTCATATACCTTATGACTGACTTTATGCCCATGATGCCCGTTTGGGACAGGGGACAGTAACAAAGGACCATGAATGACATTGGAAATACACTGGAGTAGTGGACGTCATGCTAATGTCCATTTGGCAGAGCTAATCCCCAAGTATGGGCTTGAATTAGAAAACTTTGTATCTGAATTGGTTCAGATCTCAGAACCTATTTTTCCCAGTGACAGCATCCCTCACACTGATTCAGTGATTTAACACTACTTGGAAAAGTCTCAGATTAAACCCTACACGAGTGAATATCCCACAGATTTCACTGACCTCCAGCAGCCTTACCTCCTCTGTCTTGGAAGCAACGCTCAGATCGTACAGGTGAAAGTCATCTCCATTATAATCCAGGTCTTCAACAGTTCTGGGCATGCTTTCTCTATACAAAAAGTTCTGAGGCTGACCAGGCTTGAGGATAAATTCCGTGGCATTATGTGGAGCCAATGGCTTTTCCCTAAATTCCAGGGTCTCTTTATTGTAGTGCCTTAGACTTCTAGAAGACTGTGTAACACACTCATGAGTAGGTTGGTCTTTAGTTGTAGAAATGCTAGCTTCTATTGAATTTTCTTCCTTAAATGAATCCTGTGTTACATTGTCTTTTGCATAACTGTAAACAGTATTTTGACATTCTGGTTTTTCTATGTAAGAAAAGCCTTCTGGCAGATTTTGAAACATCATTCCATCACTGAATGCTTCTATCCAGTGAAACTTGCAAATGGGTTCAGATTGTCTCAAGGAAGAAATGCTGGTGTTAATTGGCTGGGATTTTATATTTTGTTGATAACTTCCCATGTCAGTATCTCAGAAAGAAAAAGAAGGAAATAAGAATGAGTTGATCATAAATAATTTATGTGGTAACATATTCACATTTACAAATAAATCTTGAAACCTCTTAGGAATTAAGTACTATTTAATCCTTACTCTTTGCATGGGCCTTACGGTTTTGTGCTAGCAAATAAAATAGCAACTTTTTATACAGGGGGAAGAACTGCCCAAATGACTACAAGAGTACGTTACGTATCAGTCTGGTCAAACACCATTAGGGCAAATTGAAAGTACCTTCACATTTATTTTCGTGTACTGTAATTTTAAAAGCTCCAAAAGGACAAAAAGCACCCATAATAGTGTAACAGCAAACACACAGAAATTCATTTAATCTTACAATTCCATGAGCCTGGTACTGTTACCACTGCTCTTTAATAGTAAGTAAAGAGACACACGAGAGCAAGACACATACAAGATATTAACTCACTTTTTGGAGACCATGAGTTACTAAACAGAACAGTTGAGATTTTAGAATATTACTTTAAATACAACACCATAGTATTTCTCAATGTAACAAACTGTCTAGATTTAATACTTTTTTGGGGGAGTGGAGTTTGAGACAGGGTCTTGCTATGTAATCCAGGTTGGTCCTGAACTCACTATGTAGCCCAGCTCAGCCTTGAACTTGCAGTGATCCTCCTGCCTCAGCCTCCCGAGTGCTAGGATGACAGATGTGAGCCACCAGGCCCAGCTTAACACTTGTTTTTTAAAAATCAGAAGTAAGACAAATGAAATGTTATAAAATTAATAACCTCTTCTTCCTTTCCCCTCCCCAAAGATAAGCACTATACTGAAGTCCACATGAACTCATTCTTCCCAGCTTTATTTTCATCTTTTACTGACTCTAAATGATACATATTTCAGCTGGAGATATGGCTCAGCAGCACAGCGTTCACCTGACAAGCACAAGGTTGTGAGTTCGATTTCTGGTACCAAATAATAATAATGATAATAATAATATCTATCAGGTTCCCACATTTCCTTGTTTTGTGATCATGTCTCAGTGATTTTTCATGACAACCACAGAGCAAAAGAAATACCTAACAGTTCCATTAGTCCACTATCACTGTTTCACTCAAATTTCAAAACATGCAGCAGTATCCTAGAATACATAGTATCATGCTTTAAAAATTTATATAAATAGCATGTATATGTATTTGCATGTGTGATTGATCCCCAGCAGTGCACAAAACAGAGCAAAAGTATGTCATTCAAAATTTTGCTTTTGAAACTTAGCCAGGTAAGTAAGTATACATAGAGCTAGTTCATTCTACTCACAGATTAAATTTGTTTTGTTGACTATTTAAATTTCTCCTATCGCTTCTCGGCCTTTTGGCTAAGATCAAGTGTAAATTTCTCCTAATTTTGCTATTTGTAAAAATAGCATTGGGTCAAGCATCCTTACATAATTTCCCTGTTCCTCTGTTCCATTTCCCGGCGTGCAGGCTCTCAGTGTGTATCTAGACGTAGAGCTGCTCCAGTGTAGAAAACACTTAACGTCAGAACTGTAACACTATTCTCCAAAGTGACTGCGGCAATTTATACTTCTACCAAAACATAGGACTTCCAAAAGCTATGAAACTGATTACAGATCAAACCATATTTTTCTGCAATCTCTTTCATATATTTAAGGGCCTTAGAGGTGTCTTTTCCTCTGATCTGCTGGTCGCACTCTGATGGGCTGCACAGTGACCTGCCAAAATTCCTATGTCAAAGCCCTCATCGCCATGTCTTAGGATGTGGCTGTATTTGAAGACAGAGTAAGCAATGGAGCTTAAATTCAGCCAGAATGTCCGGGGCCCTCCCATGAAGATGGAGAGGCACACAGGGAAAAGCCACATGGGCAGCGAGAAAGCAGCCAGCTACAAGATCGAGAGGGGCCCCACGAGGAAGCAACCCTAAGAGTCTACTCATCTTGGGTCACAGGCCTGGAACCATGAGAAAATTAATTTCTATAGTTTCAGGTACACGGCTGATGTGTTCAGTTACGGCAGCCCTGGAAAACACATATACTTGGCCTGTTTTTCTAGTATGTGTCTTTTTAAAACTGATTCAGAGGCTGAGTGTGGTGGCTTAAGTCTGTAATCCCAGCACTGTGGAGGGTGAAGCAGGAGGATTGCTGCGAGTTCAAGGCCACCCTGGGCTTCGAAGTGAGTTCAAGGTCAGCCTGAACTGCATAGTGAGACCCTATCTCAAAAAGACACACACACAGAAACAACTACAGTGATAACAAAAAACCGAATTCAAAAAGACACACACACAGAAACAACTACAGTGATAACAAAAAACCGAATTCATAAAATTGCCTCAGAGTTCATTTTGATAGCAACTTGCCAACTAAACACAGGCCATGTATCTTCTCCCAGTCTGGGGCTTTGTTCCTTTGTACTTTGCTGATTTTACTCTGGTCACACCGAAGCTGTTTTGTTTTCTTATTGCTGTTTTTAATGTTGTCAAATGCATCAATTATGATTTGTATTTCTTAAATGTTAAGAAACAGTTCCCTTTCCTGTGGTCACAGTGGCATTTTTTTTTTTTTTAATGGTTTTAAAAAATTAAAAATTTATTATGCATCTTTAAACACATACAAAAAATAGAAAAAACAGTACATTGAATATCCATGTAGACACCAGTTAGATTGGTTAACATCTTGCCATTACCCTTCACACATACACATACTTTGCTAAACAATTTCAATTTATTCAAGGAAACTAACATTTCACTCCTGAGTCCTCTAGGACACAAATGAAGACAATCTTCTATAAATGACAAAACTTTTTCACAGCTCATAAAGTAAGGAATAATTGAATACTGAAGATCCAGCCTACAACTGTATCCAGATTCCTACAGTCCCCACCCCAAGGCTTTTACAGACGGCTGAGTCCAAGCAAGGACTCCACACTGGTAGCTGGAATGCTTGGGAGCTGGGATGTAGGTCACCGACAGAATGTGTGCTTAGGTAGAGCGTGCAAGGCCCTAGGTGGATCTTCAATTAAAATGTGAGCTCCTCCCTTCTTTTTGATTTTGTCTGAAACCCATGTAGTAGCCAGTGTGATAGCCACTCATGTACCACGACATCAGCATGCTGCCCAGTGCGTCTGCATCATCAAACGAGTCTGGACAGATGGGAGGCGGCGGGGGGATCATTGGAGGTCCAGCCGGAAATGGAGGCAGCCAGCATGACAGGAAGTGTGGAGGTGGTGGGGGTGGGGGTAGGCCACTGAATTTTAGACCTGGCTTTCCAGGTCCAGATCCTGAGCTAGGAACGGGGGGTGGTGGCGGAGGGAAAAAGGAGTTCCAGGGTGTGGCTTTCGACCTGACCGTACTTGGTTTGCTTCCTGGAGACTTGGAAGAGTTCTCACTTTCATCCGTTGAAACTTGACTTCCATTTTCATTCTCCTGCGTGTTCTGTTCCATGTTGTTGGCTGCTTCAGAGCTTGGGGAAAGTAGATCAGACAGATTTTGTTCCTCCCTGTTTCCATATCCAGTATAGACCACAACACAGGTTTCTCTCTTCAAATCCACAGAAGCGATTGTAGCTGGATAAATGCAGCCATCTTCTGACCAAACAGCAGAACACCTGTCACCCACTTTCCACTGTTTTGAGGGAGCTGTGGTATTCTTCTTCTGGCTTTTACTCTTCTTAACAGGTTTTCTTCTGGGTGTGCCCTTCGGTTTGCCGGACATTTCTCCTTGTGGTTTATCTGAAATGTCACCATTCTTTAGAGCGTACTTAAAGGAAGCCACAGCTTTATCATAAGCTTTTATCAATGCTGTATCATCCCAAATGTCAGAGTCATCACTCTGGCCTGTCCCGCGCCGAAACAGCACCGAGTTTTCCTGCTCTGGGACGCAGCCACCATCGCCGCTGCTGCTCATCGCCATGGCCCACAGTGGCATTTTTTAAGTTTTCTTTTTCAAGTAGTTCATACACAGGTCTTTATTATGTGGAATTTACTTTTTGGACTGCGTACAGGGCAAGCTTCCAATGATTTCCTATATTTACATAACCAAGTATTCCAGTACAACTGAATAAATAATCCAGCCTCCTTCACTGACTTAGGATGAGCGCTTATGCTGCTGAGCTAAATCCCCAGCCCCTTATGATGACATCTTTATCAAACATCAAGTGACCATTTATTTATAAGCAGTGTATTCTCATTATTCCACTGGAATGTTACCCTTCTGCCCACAATGCAGTTAAATTTACTATAACTTTATAATTTTACTATCTGGAAGAACAATTCTTTACATGTTTTTTTTCAAAATTGTTTTAAGGTTTTTTTCTTTTTTAACTTTTTTCAACTCTAGTTAGGAATATAAGAATCAACCTTGGATAAGTAAAATTGCATTAATGCAGAATTCAAGGAAAACTAATATTGTAACAATACCAAACATGAAACATGTAATTGTTTTTGTCCTCCACGAAAGTTTTATAGTTTTTCCATTAAAATATGGTATGTTTTGTTAGGTTTATTCTTGAATATATTAGTTTGTACCGCTACTGATAATACTGGTTTTCTTGTTTGTTTGTCTTTTTTTGGGGGGGGTTGGCATCAGGAATCATACTCAGGACCTTGTGCTTGCCAGACTGGTGCTGTGCCACTGAGTTATATCCCCAGCTTGATAATACTATTTTTTTTTTTTTTTTTTTTTTTGTCTTTTTCATTTTTACCGGTACCAGGGATGGAACTCACGACTGCCTGCTTACAAGGCAGGTGCTTATGCCGCTGAGCTAAATCCCCAGCCCCCGATAACACTGTTTTTAAAAATTGTTCTTTAAGGGGCTGGGGATTTAGCTCAGCGGCATAATTGCCTGCCTTGCAAGCAGGCAGTCGTTAGTTCAATCCATGGTACCGGTAAAAACGAAAAAGACAAAAAAAAAAAAAAAATGAGTAAAAAAATTTTTTTTATATAAGTTGTTGCTGATACATTGCGATTCTGTTAGTTTTTTTATGTTAATCAATCAGCACTTCTAAACTGTCATATTAACTCTTAATAGCCCAGGCTGGCCTTGAACTCATGGTGATCCTCTTGCCTCAGCCTCCTGAGTGCTGGGATTACATGCCTGTACCACATGCCCAGCTATTAAGAGATTTTATCAAGATACACACTTTGGAACATGTATAGCATATAATTCTACTGTCAGGCTAGACTTGACTTACAGTTCACTCAGTTAAAGCTACATGACCCTGGGCAAGGCATGGAGTCTTATTATCCTCATCTGTAAAATGGAGATTAAAAACAGCCTTTATTTAAATTTTTTTAAAAATCCCTATTTCAGGGGCTGGGAATTTAGCTCAGCGGCATAAGCACCAGCCTTGCAAGCAGACAGTCGTCAGTTCGATCCCTGGTACCGATAAAAAGGAAAAAGACAAAAAAAAAAATCCCTATTTCACAGAATTGTTTGTGGATTGAGATTTAATAAGGTGTCTAACACGCTTAGTACAGTAGCTGGCTGTTATTATCATCACAGAACATAAAAATTCTGTTTCTCTATTTTGCGTATTACTGAGATACTCACCATCTAACACATTGTCTTGTGTGCTACACATATCCTCAGAAAGCGTGGCTTTAGACTCATTTTCCCTTTCGATATTCTTTCTTTCATTCTGTTAATAAAAAAGGCATTAACACTTCAAGCAAGGATCATAAACTTCTCAATATGGATGTACACTGCTAACCTATTTTACAACATATCGGGATGTAGTATTAGAGATCGAATCCAGTCTTCACACTGAGCTATGTTCTCTGGTTCTTTTTTTTTTTTTTTTTTTTTGAGACAAAGTCAACTAAATAGCTAACTTTCCCAGGATAGGTTTGAACTTGCATTCCTCCTGTCTCAGCCTCAAGCGCAGCCATTACAGGTGTATACCACCATGCCTGGCTTTTATTCAAATTTTTGTTGCACAGGGAAAATGTGTTTTCTAGCATCTTTTTTCTTTGTATATTCAGCTTCTTTTCAGTATAACCACTCTAATATATTCACAACACTAAATGACAAACAACCTGATGCTTTAATACTTTGGTTTTCTGCAAACCAAATCATGTGACTATAAACAGGGTTGTACCAGAATGTATGTATCTCTTACTGATAATTCTTTGATGCTTGTTAAATCTTTAATAGTCTTAGAGTAGTTGTGAATCTATTCTCTTAAGATATATGAAACGATTCCAGTAATGAGATGACTTCTTATACCACTAAATTATTTTCAAAGTTATCTGAGTGGTATCTAAGATAAAAGCATTCATTACACTAACATTATACATAAAATAATCAAGCAAAAATTTTAGGAAAACATTAATTGTATCAAGTATGTGGACCTAAATGATGTCCTAGAAAGTCTTATTTCTAAAAACCAGCTGACTCTACCCAGTCACATTTTTTTAAAAAATTGTTCCATGTATTAAATGTACTTGACATACGATAAAAACTGAGGTGCAACTTGTAACAACTTGGTTTTTATACTTGTCACTAATTTAGACCATTCCTCCTAATCAGATTTTAAGCACAGTAATATATTTGAAAAGTAAAATAGCCCTACTTAGGTGCAGTGACACACAATGGTAATTCCAGCTACTTGCGAGGCAGAGGCAGGAGTACTTCAGACTGGAAGGCAGCCGGGCAATGTAGCAGTACTATGCCTCAAGAAAACTGCCAGGCACAGTGGTACACACCTATAATCCCACGCTTGGGAGGATGAGGCAGGACTACTTCCCTGAGTTGGAGGCCAGCCTGGGCTACAAAGTCAGTTCAAGGTAAACTGGAACTACAAAGTGAGACCTTGTCTCATACATCCAATCAACCAATAAATTGATCAGTAAATAAACAGGACTGGGGGTTCACAGTGCCTCTGGTTTCAATTTTTAATACTGCAAAAATGAATAAATAAAAATTTTAAACAGCCCTAATCATTTGTGATTGTACTATACTTTACATACTCTTCTCTGAATTCTACTAGTCATAGAATTTCAGAGACTTCCTTTGGTTTTTTTTTTTTTGGTCCACAAATCTAGTATAAAATGCTCAGTGAAATTCAAGGAGAACCTCCCAATTTCAGACAATTTTCAAATGTATGTTACATCTTGATTAGCAAGTGCTTAGTTACAAAAAAGAATCCTGAACATCACATAAAGCATTTGAACACCTACTACTAAGACCAATGTGACCATTTAAATATGTATCTGTATTTACCTAAAAGATCACAGACTGTATTCTTACAAAGTAACTTAATTAACCCCTTACTTGTGAAAATTTGTTCCAATATTTAATTATTATTGGCAATTCTTTAAGAATCTTTAATTTTTTTTGAAATAGGGTCTCCCTAGACAGTGCAGGATTGCCTCACAGCGATCCTTCTGTCTCAGCCTCCTGAGTGTTAAGATTGCAGGCATGCCAACAATTGGCCTAAGTATCTTATTTAAGTATTTCCTGGAGGTCGAATTCTGAAATATACTTCAGTTCACTTTCCTATCACTGGACAGCCCTGTAAAGGCTTTGCCAATTTACAGGCTGAGCCACATGAAATTTTTAGCATTTGTCCGTTTTTGAAACACAGAAACATGATTAGCCATGGGACATCTTCATTTCTTATTCCCTACACTCTTGCTAGCACCTATCAAGCATTTAGAACATTCGTGAAGACCTTGAAACACTGTGGTCTTTATCTTGTGAGAGAGGACACTAGGAATTTTCATTAAGACACACAATGGGAGTCACAACCATGCAGGGTGGTGTCACTGTCATTAAAAATGACAACCAAAACATCTGCACACTGACCCAGCGGACGATACTCTAGACCAGGAGTCTCTGCTCCTGCCTTATGACAGAGTAGAGACCATGTCCTCTGGCTGCACTGTTGGGACCCCCCAGAGGCTAGAAATGATGCATTTAAACACTCTTATCTGTAACTCTACTCTCTTCATTCACCAGCAGGACTGGAGAACCAGGTCCCGGTCCCCTCCTTCTATGCCCACTGGAGATTTTTTCTACCATCTTCCTGGATCTGAAGAAATGTGCACATGAAAGACAACGTGAGCACGGAAGGCACCTGAACCTTTCAGGACTCATGAGTGATGCCCACCTGCGGGGAAGACGAAGTAGGGATGCTTTCCAAACAGGAGGGAGAATCGGAGCAAATTAACTCTTGAGAAAGACCACTGATATGTATGGCATCCGGTTCAGACATGCTTTCTAAATTTTCATGACAGATATCCACTTCGAAATGGACGGGAACTGAAGGTGATGAACACAGCTTAGTTTTTCTTTTGAGATGCCAGGGATGATGACCAAAATTTTTGAGAGTCCTTGTTCTTAACTGCTGAATGATAGAAGGCCTCTTAAAAAAAAACACACATGCATACAGAATTTTAGTGTTTATTAGTATACGTTTTCCCCCCATACTTTACATTAAGAAAGTATGAGATTCATGGCCTTAAATTTAAAATGCAACTTATCAATATAAATTCAAAAATGTACTTTTGAGTATATCATAACTTCGTATGGTGTTAACTACTGATTTGGATAAATGTCCGTTTGTGGCCACTATCCAGTAGTTCTCTAAAAAGTGATGGGCTTTCTTGATTACTTAATGAAAGGATATTTATAGATTACAGATGTATCAGTTTTTCAAAACTATTTTTAAACTACTGAGTCAAATGCCAGCGTTTCCCCCACACCTTTCCTACACTACACCTCTTCTCTCAGGTGCTAGGGAGTGGAAATTTGGAGGATCCTGGGGTCCTTCTCATCTCGTGCCCCACAGATACTCGGTTACCAAGTCCTGTCCACTTTTTGCCTTAAAATTGTCTTTCCATAAGCCATGCTTTTGTTCCATCCCCTCTAACACTGTGACACACTCATCTTTCAGAGATAGGAGGCACCCAGTCCCTCCGGATTCCACTTGCCCCTGACACTGCCTACCCAATGCTACCTCCTGCTCTACTCAGACAAGGCTCGATTACCTGCAGATAGATAATGCTCTCTGCTCCAGTGTGTGCCTCTCTCTCTCAAAACCTCCCCATCTGCTCCTTTACATATTTTTAAATCCTGTTTTCAGTCTTTAAATCTCTATCTCACAACTCAGTTCACTGCTTTAATCTTCACTACTGTTCCTAGGGTGTTAGGGTTTCCAGATTATAATTGCCTTCTGGCTTTTCACTACTGCTCTTACTGCAGACCAGCAAGTGCTTTCTACACAGTAAATACTAAATAAATCTTGCATTTTAATGACTTACTTTCAAATTACAGGCATTACCTATTTGCCTGAGTAAATTACTGAATTATTAATAATTATTTGAGGATCAGTTAATTCCAAATCTATGTAGTCGCTTGGTAAAGCATAAACATGTAAGACAAGTATGCAGACTGACGAAAGGCTCAATTTTATGCTTTTTATCTTCCAAATATATATTTCTGGGTTGACATGAAAGGGAATCTGAAAAACCTTTGCAGTCTTCTAAACGTAAAAGCAAAACTTTTATGTGAACTTGTAATTACAGTTGTTAACGACGTTGATCAGCCCTCCAATTGCACTGCCCGATCTGCCAATGTATTTATTTTAGTCAGGCTTACATTCACTTCTGTCCTTCGCAGAATTTACGTTGAATTTTTAAAACAGGTATTCGAATCTTCGGCTACTCCGGAGAGATTCTACAATGTGTTATATGCAGGCGTCCAGAGATGTCAGGGGCGTACTCGGTAAGCGCTCTACCTACGTTTGTACTGACTTTTTTTCCAGTCGCATGATACACCTGAACCTTCAAAAGCACTTATCTTTCACTTGAAGACGCACCAAACTTCCTAAGATGCAAAAGTGTGCTCACTTCCATGATCCAGTTTCTCCGGCCGGCGCTAAGGAGTTCGTCTTCGTCGCCGCGCTCTAGCGTGGAGCTAGCAGGGCAACCTCGCCTTCCTCTTCCCTCCGTGGGCTGTGCACCCTGCATGCTCCCGGCCGCCGCTGTCGCGCCCTATGTGACGTCAGTGCGCGTCAGGCAACCCGGGCATGTAGCAGGGGCGCGCCGCTCTCGGTGCAGTTAGCAGGGCTGCGGCCGCCAGAAAACAGCCTGTGGGCTAACTGGCGCGTCCTTCCGCGTGAGGAAATACAATGCAGGGCGCTAAAACAGAAAACTCCAGATCTAATGGTCGACACAAGACAGCTGACACCACATATCCGCGCCACCATGCTAGCTGCTTCGCTCACTCGCGGTCCCAAGAGTTCCAGGAGTTTACCTTCCTGAGTGGGGCGGGACTTCCGGCAGGTTCGACTTCCGGAAGGTGGGACTTCCGGAAAGTGGGTAGTCCGGGGAATTCGTAGAGTCCCTCAGCACATGGAGTGGCTACAGCTAGCCGGCTTCTGAAGAATCTCGGAGGCGCCGCAGGTGCTAGCCGTCCTCTGTGCTATTCCTGCCCGGTGAAGTGCGGGCAGCCTCGGTCATGGATTATCGGCAGTTCCTGATGAGCCAGGTGGTGCCCGGCCAGTTCGACGACGCGGAGGCCACCGACAGGTAAGCAGGGGCCTATGGGAGACCCCAACTCTCTCCATCGTCCGCCTTCTCCTCTCCTCGGGGCGCTGGCAGTTCTTTGTGGCCTAGGGAGCCAGCATCCCAGCTGGGTTTTTCCTCCTGCAAGGCCTAGCCTGTGAAAGCCACTTGTCTAGGTAGTCTGCGGGTTCTCAGGACGGTCCGCCTGGCCGAGAGGCAGGCAGAATTGGGGATCACAACTGGGAAACAGACTTTTACGTTTTGTCTACATCCAGCATTCCACAATTACGGTACTCACCGAGCACTTGGGATGTGCCGGTTTTGTCTTCTGCTGGAGAGAGTGGTGAACAAAACGAACCACAGCTGTGCTGTCACTGAACTTCACCTTCTGCTTCGGACGTGGGAACCATTAAAAAAAATCAGACAATGGCATATGATATGAGCAAAATTAAAGTAGATTGAAATAAAAGTAGCTGTCAGGCAGGGGCTAAAGTCAGCATGCCGAGGAACAACTAGAGAGCAGAGGACAAATGCAATCTCCCAGAGCGCGACCCTCTGCTGTGAAAGGAAGACCCAGAGGCCAGTGCCGAGAGCACACTGGGTGGTTGAGATAGAGATGTGAAAAGAGCTGGATCGTGTAGAGCCTTTCCAGTGTGGTGAGGAGGTAGCTATTGGTCAGGGCTTAAGAAAGCCAGGGTGAGGATTTTACTAGGGAGGTGAAGTCATTTGATTTATGATTGAAGGGAATCTTTCTGCTATGTGGAAAATGGTTATGGAGAGTGAGAGTGGAGCAGACAGACCAGCTCAAAAGTAGTAAGTCGTTAGGTTCAAAGATAGATGCTAGAGGTAGGGTCATAGAGATATTCTTTGGAGGGGGCAAAGTTTAATGGTAGATTGGATATGGAGTCTGAAAACAGCTTTAAAGATAACTCCAGCTTGTGAGGAAAATGAAAGTTATTTTGAAAATTTCGAGACTATTTTATACTTTATATTTACCATAGGAGATATTACAAGTAGATTTGATTAATCTGCCTGGATATGTTTTCAGTAAATGTGTATTGACTGCTTTCTGAGTGTCAAATCTAATGTTCGTGGGAATACACTGGCAAACACCATTCTGATTTATACAGACTTGTACTCTTGCAAGGGAAACTGGTATGAAATAATCAGACAAATTATTCTTATTAGAACTGGATAATACAGAAGAGAAATGGTTGAAGAATAGAAATTTCCCCGAACAAGTGTTAGTAAGCTGATATAGGAAGAATGAGTAGGTTTTAGTCAGAGAAATGAGAAGCCTTTTCTAGTCATAAGGTTACAGATCAAAATATAAAGACCCTTGTAGAGAAGCCAGTGTGACTGGTCAGTGGAGAGCCATAATGAGAATGCACTGATTTACCATCCACACAGGGCAGAGTGAGGATAAATCCCAGTGGTTCTCCACTGGGATGAATTTTGTTCCTTTACCTCTAGGTCTTTGCAATCTCTAGAGACATTTTAGTTGGTGACAGTTGTGTGTGTGAGGTGTGTACTGGTGGCATCTGTTGATGGAAGGCAACAATGCTGTAAAACATCCAGCTACCTTTGGCAAGGCCCTAGGGCAAAGCTGTGACCGAATGTACCACTCTAAGTTATTGGTGGTTAAAGGATTAACTTATGAAGTAATAATAAATTTCAGGTGTTTGATGATTTTCTATTCTCTTTCAATTCTTGCCCACAAGGATTTGGAACCCTGAGCCATCACAAATTAATAAATTGAGATTGATACTTGATTTTACTTAAACCCTTATCTGATTTTTTTTAGGTGGTACATAGTACTACTTGTGTTACAGGATTTCTTGCCCTTACTCTACATGAAAAGTCAAAACTAGCAACACTTCTGTTGAATTTGGCCTATAGATTGTGTGTGTGTGTGTGTGTGTGTGTGTGTGCAACCAGGAATTGAACTCAGACTTGCCAGGCAGGCACTTAGGCTGCTGAGCTAAATCCCCAGCCCTGTAGATATGTTTTGTTTGGTATACACACTGTTGTAAAAATTTCATATTCTTAGTTAAGTGGGAGATTTTATGCAAATGTCCAGATTTCAGGCTTCTCTTGAAAAACTAAGAAAATTCAGTAGCTTCAGGTCTGAATTCACAGATTGCAAAAACCTGATAGCTGTGTTCTTTTCATCCTGAACCCTTTCTCTCTGTTGTCAGTCCCTGCTTCTCTTGTCTTGTGCTTAGTCCTCCTGCAATGCTTATGTAGTGCTTGGACCATCCCTTCCCTTTGTAAACAGGATGACTTGAAGCTCTGTGTTGCAAAGTGGTGTGGACTTTGAAGTAAGGCTGCTTATTCCCACAGCTGGTTCCCTGATCAGACTTGATTTGTTCGGTGGAGAAGGTAATAGCCAGTCTAACTTCACTAAGGCAGAAGCAGACTTCACATGTGGTGTTGTTCTTTTCTAGTAGGAATTGGGCATGAGGAGTAGGCAAATAACCGAGAAACAGGGGACTGGTAGTAAGAAGGTGGGACTTACTGAGAGATGTAAGGAAAATGGATTTATCAGCATATATTTAATCTGTTACCTCATGAGTGATGTATGTATGAGTGTACTTAGATACAGAGAGCCCTTCCTGGTGCTCGTTGCAATCCAGGAAGTTTATACTCCTAGTCCTAAAAGAAAGGTACTGGAATTCCTAGTGAGTTAATCCAGTTTACCACTTTCAGTGCAACCCAAGGCAAGAATAATGACACTAAAACATATTTATAGGTATAGGGAGCTAAGGGGTCCTAAGTCCAGCCAGGATGCAGGTTCACCAGAACAAAGGCCACAACCCAGGGCCCAACTCTGGTTTTATTAATTTGCTTTTGGTTTTGGTACTGGGAATGGAACTCACAACCTTGAGCTTGCCACGCAGGCACTTTGCCACTGAGCTGTCTCCCCAGCAGGTTTTATTAATTGTTTGAGAGGGACGTGGCTAGGGGATGAGTGACAGTGAGAGTGAGTGGCCTGAGCTGGACTAGGTAGGAGGCCTGGGATCACCTCTGCGATGTGCAGAGAGAGTAATCTGCATAACACAGTGTTTTGGGGTCAGTGCTTCAGCTCGGATGTGCAGTCTTTTCTGCCCTGGGAAGTCATAGCCTCTTATCTCAAGGTTTGACCTCAGCCCACAGCATGAGGGGGGCTGCTCTGCATCCTGACCAGCTCAGTCATGATTTTTGGGAGGCACGGGGTGGGGAAGCCGCTGTCCTGTGGACTTGCTTCAAGAATTACACATCAGCTCCTCAGCCAGCCCTGTCTACATGGCTTAAAGCCAATTGAAGGGATAAAGTGATGGCCTGACCAGCTCTGTTATAACATTACATGGAAACATGACCATTTAGCCAAAATGAAGATCATTGTTCTTCTTTCAAGGAGAGTTCCCATGGTGTTCCCCGCGTAGAGACTGTATAAACAAACCAAAACACTGTTTTTTCCAGTGAGAACACAGATTTGAAGACAATCAAAGCAGAAGATGGCACTCTCTTTGAAGATCTTCCAACTAATGTGACTGAGAAGGGGGAAGGTGAGATAGAAGATGAGGAGGAGGAAGAAGAGGACTGTGACGACGACGACGGCGACTGGGACTGGGATGACGGAGCTGGAAGGCTCACCCGGGGCTCTGCCTGGAGTGGAGGGAGGAACCCGCAGGTACAGCTGTATGGAGTCTGCTGTGTCTTTTTTAAAGGGACCTTTTATGGTTCCAAAATTGAGTAACTGAAGGATTTTATTCAGATTATATTCTGTAGCCCCAGTCTTTACTCATTTCTTTAAATCTTGTGTCACACCACTCTTTAGTGCTAATCCTTATCTCTAATCTTTCCCTTTCTTGAGATACTAGACCCAAAATGAAATTACTAGTATGAGTTTAATGTTGATTTTTGGCTCCTTATTACAGAGTTTGGGGAAAATGAACATAGATCTATAGATCAGTTAGTGGGAAATACATTTAATTTATCATGTGAAGAATACACTGAAAAGAGGTAAACACTGACCTCTTTGTTGTAGTCAGCAACTTCGCCTTCTGTTACAAACGCCTTTTAAAAACAGGACCGAGAAGGGGTGGGGAGAGCACATGACGCATGGACAGGCATTGAATGTCTGAGAGTGAGTGGTCAAGACACAGCAGGACGGACCACCCTGAGGACAGACTATCGGCCAGGCATGTGCAGCCCCACCAGGGCCTGGAGGGAACCCACGCCCCTGACGCTGGCCCAGAGCCCTGCAGCCATGTGCTGCTGAGGACATCCTGGAAGGGGCCGTGAGCAGAGGTGTGTACGGATGGCAGCCCCCAACCCAGGCTGGGTATACATCAGTGGGCATGTGCTGGGGTATGACAGTGCTGAGGCGTGTGCCAGAGCCTGGAATGCCACTTCTCTATTATCAGCAACTCTGCTACACCATCTGGCTTCCTGCACTGCTACAGATGATACATAGGCTCGCAAGCAAGGGCTGACTCTGTCTGAGCGCACTCTCCACTGGGTCCTGCACACGTACAGAGGAAAGCCAACTCCCAGGATGGAGTGCCGCCCTTTAGAGCTCATCAGGTCAGAGCTCAGACAGGAGCCTGGTCTTCGTGCGTAAGCTTCCCTGGCAGAGCGCAGCACATGCCCTTCCTGCCAGTGAACACTGCTCAGCCACGTGGAATCGAGTGGCGGAAATTGGTCCACTCTATGGCCCCAGAGTTTGCCATCCTGATCTCAGCAGTGTGAGTGAGGCCAAGCACAGACTGCAGGGCAAGAGCCCCAGCAGTCCCACAGACAACCTGGAGCTGCCTGCAAGGAGCCAGCATGACCTCGATGACCAGCAAGACTATGACAATGTGGCCTCTTGACAGTATGCAGACCAAGGGCCACCATGCAGTGCTGGTACCACTTGGAACAGGTGCACCCGGGTTACGGAATCCTCAGCCTGTCTGACAGGCCCGTGAAGCTTCAGCAATATCCGGAGCTGAAGAAGCCCTGGCTGCCTCCAAGGCAAACTGCAGCCACTTGTAAAGGTCCGCAGCAGCTTGGGTGATGAACTTCGGGACTACAGAGGGAGCCTCACAAGCTGCTAGCATCCAGCCTGCAGCTCCAGCAGCCACCAGGGTCTGTGCCCACACCCTGGCTCCCCAGCGAGCATGTGGAGCACACTCCCAGGGGCCACTCCACGCTCACACTGCAGGCCTTTGGGGATGCACCTGGGGATGAGCTTGGCACTTAAGCTGCGGCCCTTCCACAGCACTGACCTCAGCTGCACCTTCCACTATCCCCTGTCCACTGCTGTTGTGTTCCCTGGAAGGAAGCAGTCAGAAGAGCAAACTTTCCCACCACAGCAGCGATGCCCCAGAAGAGTGTCTGGAAGAGATGCAGTTCTTTTGAACTGGGCAAGGAGGGTGATCTCCATCCTGAGCCAGACTGGCAGAACACCTGCATGGGGACCTGGTTCTTGGGTTCCCCTGTGACAAGGATGTCATTCTAAAGACAAAGCAGGTCACTGAGAACACTCAGGAGCTGTCCAGGGTGCCCCAGGAGTTCAGATGTGACAGTGTCATGCCCTGCTCAGAGCAGAGCCATTTGGCTGTGACAGAGGTGGCCTCACTCTTCCCAGAGAGGCCAGTCCTGGAGCCTGCATGGCTCACTGCGGCTGCTCGGTGCCAGCCCCCCACTGGCTGCAGCATGACTGCCAAAAGGCATCGCCCCCCACACCCTGAGCCAGGCACCTCTATGGACTTCCAGCTGCTGACTCAGCAGGCAGTCCAGGGCACCTGCGACATCACCAAGGCTGCCACATGGCTGGTCACCACTACCACTTGAGGGAAGCAGCAGTGACCGTGCTCCCTGCCTCACCCACAACCTGGGACCTCACTGGCCATGGGAGCTGGGCCACTCCAGGCAGTAACCCACCCCAGCAGAGCCGCCGGCATGAGTGCCTCCCCTGGCAGCCAGGTGCCCTGGAGCCCACTCCCCTCCTATAGACACAAAAGTGTCTGCCCCCTATAGTCCATGCACTGTGTCTGTACATAGCACCCCACCCTTCCTGCATGCTCTAACTGAGCATCCCTTCATGTGAGTACGTGGGCGGCAGCCCTGGCCCACCCACCTGGAGCTCTGAGGGACAAAGGAGACCGGAGCAGTGGGACCTGCATTGGTCTTTCTGTCCCCTGCTTGGTAGCTGGGACTGACAGGGTCACCAGCTATGGTCCTGATGCCACCACCTCTTATCACAGCCCCAGCTCTTACCCCTATTCTATCAACCTAAAAGGCAAACCACTTCCCTCCGTCTCCTTCCCCTGCTTTGTAGAGCGAAAAGTGTGGCTGGGCAGAGGGCTGAGCACCTGAGTCGGGGCTGGCTCCCTGGGGTCCCCAGCTCATCTAATAGTGTGGTAGTGTGGTAGTCTGAGAGCCCCTCCCCATCACCACTAAGAGGCTGGCGCCCTTTGTCACTTCCTGCACCTTGAGGTGGCTCCACCCTGGACACCTGGGCACCTGACTACAGCCTTGGGGGCTAGAGAGGCCGACAGCAGCACCCAGCAGCTGCCTTCCTGACCACCTCGCCCCCAACCAGCCCTACCTGTGTGGTCAGTGGTGGACTGGCAAGGCGTGTGTCCTGTGCACTTGTATCAAAAATAAGGCACCATGAAAAAAAAAAATGCAGTATCAGGCAGGTTGGACGGGTTCTTGCCTTTCCTTGGTATATTCCTGTAGGTACTGGCGCTTGTAACAGCGAACACCTGTGAAGGAGAAAAGCAGGTGACTTCAAACTCGTTCCTTTGTTCCTTTTTGGTTAAGCTTATTGGTACGTTTTGGATATACATAATGCTCATATTCATCACGAGAGATTTGCATCTTTATGTGATATATTTGATTCCTCTTCTTTAAAAATCGTTTCTTTTAGGCAAATCGACAGACTTCCAGCTGCAGTGCAGCCAAAATGTCTACTCCAGCTGACAAGGTTTTACGGAAATTTGAGAATAAAATTAACCTAGGTGAGCTTATAGAAAACATTATACCTTGCTGTGCCAAGAGGAAATTCTTCAAAAACCATAAAGTATTAAACAGTTTTACTGGGTCGAGAAGTAATGAGTCAAGGGTTACTGATTCTCTATTACGGCTTGAAGAAAATGGAAGCTTAGTAATTTCAAGAAATGGCTTTTGGAGGCCAGCTGACACTGTTTTTGTTTTGTTTTCCCATTTGTTATGGAAATACAAAGTTAGAGGTCCCTGTGCCTGTTCTCATTTGTCCTGTGTTAGATTTTACAGTAGGATCCTCTCAATGCAAACAGCATGTTGAAAATACTGATTTGTTTTACTAGAGGCTTTTTTTGTGGATGTTAATCACTTACTAAGCTGTAAAATGCAAGGAATCAGAGTGCTGCTTTGAACCACCACTTCTTAAAAAGCATAAAATCTTTGTTTTGACTATAAACCCAGAACCCTCTCTGTCATATGAACTGCCCACAAATGCTGTGTGCTTGAGTATCATGCAGCCGTGGTGAACCGGTGGCACACATGTTACTGTGCTTTTCTTTTAAAACAGAAGATGTTAATCTGTGAGTTATTTTTTGTAAACTAAACTTCAGTATTCAGGCTTAATAGCAGTGTTGGCAGTTTGCAGATAAATAATGGGCTTTGGCGTTTGTCTTTAAAGGTTGCCAGGGATTTAGCTCAGTGGCATAAGCGCCAGCCTGAAAAGCACTAAGTCATGAGTTTGATCCCCAGTACCAAAAAAATAAAATAGGAAAAACATAAAGTTTTGTCATCACTGATTCTGAGTCCTCGTTGCTGTTGTGGACCTGTAACTGAAAACTGTTAAGAGTTGGTACTCAAGCCATTATATTGTCCACAAAACATTAACAGATAACTGGAATTTAACATGTAGACTCAGTATTTTTGAGGCATTTCTCTACCTAGACTTCTATAGAATTCTGGCTGGGAAATTATAGCAATAGTGATAAAAGTGACAATACTGTGAAGAAAACAGAACTTAATGCTTATCTTTAAAAAACTAAGTATTTTTCATAACTGAACTGTCATACATATAGTACAGTATTTAGGGAATACAGAAGGAAAGCAAGAGGGGGAAGTAGTGTTGAATTCAGAGGGGCTGTGAATGTCCTTTTATTTATATATTACTTATATAATGTGTCTTTCGTTCTTAGATAAGCTAAATGTCACTGATTCTGTCATAAATAAAGTCACTGAGAAGTCTAGACAAAAGGAAGCAGACATGTAAGTAATATTTTAATTATAAAATATGGGTGACAGGGACAAACTAACAAAATTGTTTTGCACAGGTGCTTACTTGTTTCCGTTTAGCTTCGATGGCATAGCCTGTGTGAAGGGAATTTGAAAACCCTAAACGAGTCTTAGGAAATATGGTAAAACTCTAACCTTCAAAGTCGCAGGCTGCTTTCATGGCGGGAGCGGTGTGTTTGTAGTTTTCAGTTGCACTAAATTTGTAAAACTGTTCCTGTTTCAGAATTTATTAAGAATTATTTCCTTGCATGAAGTATCTTTTAAAATCTAGGGGAAGTTTTAAAACTAAATAAAAGTATAACTGACAATTGTTTTCATGTATACTTATGTTTTGGTTTTTTTTTTTTTTTTTTGGTACCAGGGATCAAACTCACAACCTTGAGCTTGCCAGGCAGGCGCTTTTTGCCGCTGAGCTAAATCCCCGGCCCTATACTTATGTTTTCAGAGCAAATTGTTTTAAGCCCCAGCTAACTTCTCTTACGTGCTAAACTTTACTATCCCTGTGTTACAGAAAATACCACCACAACTAGCAGCATTAGAACTGCCTTAAAAGCCAGTTTTTGTGGTTTACTGTTTGGGTCAAGAGAGCAGCTTCCAGACAGACCCCTAGTCTCTCCTTACCTGCTGCCGTGTCTGTGCCTTGTGTTTGGATCTGTTCCTTGGGGTTCGTGCGCTGCAGTCAGGTCCGGTACCAGAGCTGAAGCCAAGCCGGGTCCGCATTTGAAGACCAAAGAGAAAGCCTTGTAAATAAATGGCTTTCGTTCTGTTTGCGGGACAGACAGGCTGGCTATTTTGTTGTCTCTGTGCTCCAGCTTCACTGTTATTCAGCGCTGCTGGAGCGAGGAGGGGCACTTCCCCTGCACACGTCCCCCTGTGCCCGAGAGGACTGCAGCTGCGCTCAGAGGAGGCGAAGGAGGTGTCTCCGGGGGTAGAATCTACAGCTGAATCATGAAGTCTTGTTAGGAAAGGAGCTGCTTAGGCATTTTCACAAAATGATGGACTTTTAGAAGCATTATTTTGGCTTCTCTCACTGAATTTTGAATGTATCAACTATACTTTTTGTTTCTGGTTAGGTATCGCATCAAAGATAAGGCAGACAGAGCAACCGTAGAACAGGTACAATTCAAATGTATTGCAACTCTTCCTTTGAATTAACATTTCTTTCCTCTTTGGCTTGAAGTTTGCTTTTATCCTTGCTTAATGCTAATGGTACCTAAAGCCACTCCTGTAGAAAGTTACTGCTTTTATGATTTTGAACTTAGAAATGAGCGTGTGGCTTTAGAGTAGAACCGTTAGCCAGTCACGCACAGTCGTGGTCCCTCCATGGCCCTGTGAAGCCACCTGCAGTACTTTTCCCTTCTCAGAAGCAGAGAGATGACCAGACTGGGAACTTCTTAAGCAAGGTTTCTAGGAATTCCGTAGGCTTTCTTGGGAAATGGATGGATTATCTGCCGTGAAGCAGGGTGTGAGAGGGGAGAGAGAGGTAATGCTGTCAATTGCTCATTGAAATTTCATTCTCTCAGAAATGATTCGCTTCATTCTTTGTCCTTAAGAGGGGAGGAAAATTGGCCCCTAATTCTCGCACATGCCGAGGGAGGTGATGGGATGTTACCATTGGTTCAGATTTTCAGTGTGAAGAAAATGAACTATGCTACCCACCACCTCTCTCTTCCACCCACACACATGTTCAAACACTATGGATAGTAGTTTCTTCACCTAAGGAGCCTTGGTTTAAGAAATGATACCCCTTGTGTCACCAGCCTCACCCCAAAGGATCAGCTCCTGTCCAGTGGTTCTGAGATCTAGAACCATTTTGCTGTGAAGATTCCATTGTTTGGAGCGAGGTCTGGCTCTGTGTCTTCAGTGTCCTATAATTTCTTCTGTGTGATTTGAGCTGTTCGTTTTGTGTTTTGTTTGTCTTGTCTTTTTGAGATAGGGTTTCACTGTGCAGTTTCGGCCAGCCTTGAACTCACTTTGTAGGCCAGGCCAGCCTTAAGCTTGCACTGATCTTCCTGCCCTGGCCCCCAAATGCTGGGATTATAGCAGTGCACCACCACATCCAGCCTTTGTGTGATTTGTTTTTGTGATTGAAAGCAAAGTTCGTGGTCTAGTTCAGAAAGATGAGATGCAGCCTAAATTTTCAGACCCTAAAATAACTTGAGATCCTTTCTGTTTCAGAATTAATTTTGAATAAGAGTGTATCTGTTGAGTCTTCCTTTCCTTTTTAAAGATACTTGCCTGTAAGTCTGTCGTTTCCCATTCCCCATTTTTCCTAAGACATTGTTATGTAGTTCTTTCATACGCCCCTTACAGATCTCCCTAGGAATTCTGCAGAAGGGCAGCCCCACCTAGACCCCGCACCAGCCAGCCTGCTTCCCCTCAGGAGGAGCCCTGCAGCCAAGGGCACCTGTACACTCACTTCACCGTCATTCCTCTTGAGTTGCAGGGTGGCAGTGTGGCATTTAGGCCCTGGTCAGCTGTGCTTGTTTTCTTTACAGTATCCTCAGCTTGTGCTGTAACCGTGTCCACCTCGCTGAATATGTGACCTGAGATGGGTCGAGGTTTGACCGGTTGAGCCGGTGTCACTGCAGTGCCGGAGGGGCCTCCGAGCCACAGGGGGCGCTGCTGCTGTCCTTTGAAACTGCATGTACACGTCGGGCTGCTTCAGTTTAGAGATGGACAAGAACGGCGTTAAATTTTTTACTTTTAAGTTCTTGGCTAAGAGGACATTGAAATTCTTTTTACCAAGGCTGAATACTTAGGGGCAGGGCACACTGTGGTCCTGGGTCCCTGGAGGATTACTCGAGACCACAGGTTTGAGATGATCCTAGGTAACTTCAAGACCCTTAACTCCAAAGAAAAGCTTTACAATGATTTTGGAGGTGGCTCCTCCCTGATTCACTCTAGCACAGCAGGTGTCTGCAGACTTCCAAACAGCCCACTCATGAATACTTGGGCTTTGCAGCTTGTGTTTAGTTTCTCTTGAATGATTAAATATCTTGTTAGTGACTTCTTATATTGATTAGGTGGTTGAGTGATACTTTTAGACACACTGAGTTAAGGAAGAGATATTAAAACCGCCTCACTTGTTTTTGTTTCTTTTAATGCACTAACAAGAGAATGTGGAATTATGTAGGTGGTCGGCCTTGTATTTCTGTTAGTTAACATTGGGCTGAAGTCCAGCTCTGCTTCCCTCACACTTGAGAGGCTTTGGTTCCCACAACTCAGTGCACATCTCGGTGTGGGTCCCTAGTTCGAGGGGAGACAAACACTGACCCCCGAGTCACCCGGAAGCACTTCGGTGTGCTGTTGTGCATTAATGCATTTGGGTCCGTCTTCTGGGCATCTCAGTTTTCACCTTCCTTTTTAGGTGTTGGATCCCAGGACGAGAATGATTTTATTCAAGCTGCTGACAAGAGGGATCATATCAGAGATAAATGGCTGCATCAGCACAGGAAAAGAAGTGAGCTTTTCTTTGGATGACTGAATATTTTCATGTTTGTCTTCTTATTTCAAATAACAACTGAAATGCCAGCACTAATAAATCAACGTTGCCTTTAAAGAAAGGACTAGAAGTGTAGCTTAGTAACAGAGCACGAGCGTGCACAAGGCCCGGGGCCTGAATGAGAGAGACCGAGACCTGGGGGAGCTCAATGCCGTGTTTCCGAAGCCAGCAGCTTATTCACAGTTACAGCTGGGTGGGAAGTGATAGCTGTAAGTGTCCTTTTTGACAGCAGTTGCTGCTTTCTGTCACTTTTTCACTGAGTTTAGTTGTGCCCAGCAGTAAGCTTATATGTTCAGGCTGTTGGAGGCCTGAATTCTCATTAACAAGTTGCTAGCTGGGAGCCAGGTATGGCGGGGCAGACTATGATTGCAACAGTCTGGAAGGCTGAGGCAGGAGGATTGCAGATTCCAGTCCAGCCTGGACAACCAGCAAGACCTGTCTCGACATAATAAAAAGCAAAAAGAGCTGGGACTGTAGCTCGGTGATCATGTACCATGGGTTCAATCCCCAGGACTTCACATACACAAAAGCCATTTATTAGGCAAGGGTTTATGGTCTCATTTCTGTGAGTCAGACTTGCTCCTTTTTTTTTTTTTTTTTTTTTTTTTTTAATGGATATGGAGAAAGGCAAACATGGTGTTTTTAAATTGCCAGCTCATTGTATATAAGAATTATTAGCTATAAGAATAGTCTTAAATATTTTCTATATTTGAGATAAAAGGTTTGAAACCAGTTTTCACATATAAATACATTTTGCTGTGTGTGTGCAGTCTCCCATCGCCTGACAGCGGGCTGTGCCCTGAAAACTGCATCCATGGTTTTGTTGTACGAACTTGATAGTGTGCAATCGCACCCATGGGGACCACCACGGTGCCACCTTGGGGTGTGAGTCGACGGAGCGCGCGGCGGGTATGGCCCACCGATCGGTGAAGTTACTGAGATAAACGGCTGCGTGTCTGTGATGGTTCATAGTCCAGCGCATCTTCAGAGCTAGTGGTGTTCTCTGTGAACAGTGTTTCATCTCTCTTGACTTTGAGGTTAGAGTATAGCATATTGGAAAAGTGAACACTAACCCAACCTTTATTTTTGTTTTTGACCAAAAATAGGCTAATGTGTACCATGCCAGCACCCCAAATGGAGAGAGCAGAGCCATCAAAATTTACAAAACTTCTATTTTGGTATTCAAGGATCGGGATAAGTATGTCAGTGGGGAATTCAGGTAAGCTCGGATTTCTCTTCTCCCAGTTTCTTTTCATTTCTCTTTGTTAAAACATTAAATCAGAGTAGTGGAATGATGGATATAACAAGTATTTTCGTTATTCAAGGTTTCGTCATGGCTACTGTAAAGGAAACCCCAGAAAAATGGTGAAAACTTGGGCGGAGAAAGAAATGAGGAACTTGATCAGGTGACTGGGTGTGGGGTGCCTGCAGCCCTTCCGGCCGGCAGGTGCCTCCTGGTGCTGCTCTGCCCACAGAGAGGGACTCCTCAGGGCCCCTAGTGCTGCCCAGTGGGGCGGCAGAAACAGTACTGATTGCCCGTCCTCTGCGTAAGGTGGCAGCGCTGTTTGCGTGTGGTCAGTAAGGCTACTCATCCGAATGGCCTTGTAAGCCACACGAGAACACGGTGAGAATCCGTACTAAGGGTTTTCAACAGGGAAGTGACACAGCTGGTTATGGTAATGCATGTCACCTTTTTGTGGGGTAGAAGGGTACCGGAATTGCCTCATGCTTGCCAGGCAGACATGCCACTTCTTAATAGTACTTGATTTAACCATGTTATTCCATCATTTTTAAAATTCCAGTCCAGTTTTGGATACAACAAAGATAAAGTGTGAAAGGTCAAGTACCTTGTTGAGATCAGGATTCCTTAAAATGTGGTGATTTTTCCCTTCCCTCTCCAGTGTCTTTTAACCTGTTATATCAGATGCTATGCAGTGGATAATTGTTGGGCAAGTATTTTTTGTTGTGAAATTCTTTTGAACTCCTGCGATACACTAGCTATTAGGTAGGTGTGAATCCAACAGTTTTTTTGTGTGTGTGTACTTTTTTTTTTTTAATCTTTTTACTGGTACCGGGGATCGAACTCACGACCATCTGCTTGCAAGGCAGGTGATTATGCCGCTGAGCTAAATCCCCAGCCCCTAATCCAACAGTTTTTACTGAGCATTTTTCAGACTTACCAAGTCAAAAGATAGGGTCAGCGTATCTGCTGTATTTGATCAGCTCTAGGATGCACATTTTCAACAGTTTAATGTCTCTGAGTTGGGATGGCTCTTACGGGCTGTGGTACGTGGTAGTTTACTAGCCAGCATTTTGTCATTCAGAGTCGCGCATACTGGTGCCACTCCTGTCACTGGCACCTTAGACTCTGAAATATGCCACACAATTGGGAGGCCCTGTGCTCCTTGCTGACAGTAGCAGTTGTCTGGACTGTTGCTCTTAATTTGTTTAGATACCTTTTTGACATTTTGTTGTCCTCTTCTGTGTTACCACAGGTTAAACACAGCGGAGATACCGTGTCCCGAACCAATAATGCTAAGAAGTCATGTTCTTGTCATGGGATTCATTGGCAAAGATGACATGTGAGTGTGTAGGACACTAAGCACGTCACGCATAGGCCGTGTGGTTCAGGGCTTTGTGTTACCCAGCGTGTGAATTTCCAGCACTCCTCGCCTGCATCTTTCTCACCTCCTTAATGCGTGCGTGTGGGCGGCTTCACTTTTGACGCTGGGAGCGCTTCAGAGTACACAGTGTGCTGGGCAGCACCTGCCTGTCGGCCGCCTGTTAGCAGGGGGTAGACGTAGTGAGATGAGCTGTCCCATACAAGTTCCAGGATGAGGCTGGAAGAGAAGTGTGAAGCAGGAAGATGTGTCCTTGGTCATCTCATCTTCGTTTGTTCGCTTTTCATTCAAGGCCCGCGCCACTCCTGAAGAACGTCACATTGTCAGAGTCCAAGGCCCGGGAGCTCTATCTGCAAGTCATTCAGTGCATGCGGAGGATGTACCAGGACGCCAGGCTCATCCACGCGGATCTCAGCGAGTTTAACATGCTGTGAGTGGGGTTCGTCCCCTCAGAGCCACCACAGTGTCATTTCGTGACCTTTTTAAAGTGATAGGCAAAATCCCAGCCTACGACATTCTACAGTTGCGGCATTCTACAGCTGTGGCATTGGCGTCCCCATGGTGACAACTAAGATGTGGTCCCTGCCCTCAGTGACCCGAGTCCCAGAACTGACTGAACGGGCTTGGGAAATTTTCTCAGCTCTCAGCCCGTCAGTCGGGTGACTTCTTAGCCCCCATGGTCATGTTGTGAATGGCTCCCTGCTTTCTAAAGAATAGAATTCTTTAAAATCGAGGGTGCAGCCCGTGGTCTCTGCTCGCAGGTACCATGCGGGCGGCGTGTACATCATCGACGTCTCGCAGTCTGTGGAGCATGACCACCCGCACGCCCTGGAGTTCCTGCGGAAGGACTGTGCCAACGTCAACGGTGAGGCTTCTGGGGGTGGGCTCCCACCTGTGCAGTGTGTGCACCCCGGTTACACTCGGGGTGTGAGGCCTCCCTCGGCTCGGCCTGGCCCGGGGTAGCTCAGTGGGGAAGTGGCCCAGGTTCCGGCCCAGCCCCACAGCCAGAACTCCTGTCACTACCTTGTCTGCTGTGGCAAACCATGCCTGGGAAGTGGTGCGCGTTTGTTTCCTGTGCAGTAGCTGGAATCTTTTTTCCCTTCTGCAACTGTCAGCAGCATCTTCCTCCGGCAGATTTCTTTCTGAAGCACGCTGTGGCAGTGATGACCGTGCGGGAGCTCTTCGACTTCGTCACGGATCCGTCCATCACACACGAGAACATGGACGCCTACCTCTCTAAGGTGAGGCAGGTGTGGGGGCAGGCTTGAAGGCAGCCGCAGAATTGCGTTTGTGTGGTGCTTTTGAGAAGCTCACACTACTTAGTGCAACTCACACATTGATAGCTTCTTAAGCCTGTGATTTCACAGATGGGGATCAAGAGCCCAGCACAGGCTGGGCATGTTGGAAGTCGCAGGCTGAGGCAGGAAGATTGCTTGAGTTGACAAATTCAAGAGCAATCAACCAGGACAGCATGGAGTCATTAGAAAAACGAGGTGCCTTAATTTCAGTCATTTGGCAAGATTACATAAGCTGTCAACCTTCAGGAATATTTAGTAGTAAATCCATTAGTGGGGTTTTTTTTGGGTGGGGGGTACCTGGGATTGAACTCACAACCTCACGTTTAACACACAAGCACCTGAGCCGCTGAGCTAAATCCCCAGCATCCCATTAGTTTTTTTACCATTAATTCTCCCATGTTTCTGAGAAGCTTTCCTTAAGATAGAGGTTTTTTAATTAAGTTGTAATAAAATCTGCTTACCGTAAAATGTACTATTTTAGCAATGTTGTTTTGTGATGCTGGGATTTGAACCCTTGCCCTGCTAGACAAGCACTCTGCTGCTGAGTTACCCCCTTTTGTAGCTGTCTTTAAACATGCAGCTCGGGGGCATCAGGTTCATCAGCCCACCGCACATGTTGTTCCCGCACGTCTTCAGCCCCTTCCGCCCTCCCAGGCCGGCTCTGTCCCCAGCAGAAGCCGCGCTGCCACCTGTCCTCAGGGCCCGAGTGCTTCCGCTGCTGCTTGTGCCTAGACACTTATAGTGTGTGACTTTTACATAACCAGCTCATTCCATAATTCAGCTCACTGAATTAGGTCCTCACAGATCATCCCTGGGGTGGCGTAGGACAATGTTTTTTCTTTTGAGGGCTCACAGTACCCCATAGCGTGCACCCCACACTTTGTGCATCAATTGCTCATCTGTTAATGGCAGCTTTTTTGGTGATGCCTGTAGGAAAAATCCTGCGCCATCTGAGCTCACTGTATCCTTTGAGAAGTGGAAAGAGGTGGCGCCTGTGAAGACGGGAATAAGCTCAGAGAGAGCCTGCGGAGTGTGTCCATCTTGTATAGGTCCAAGTCGAGGACAATGACCTCTTCTTTTCTCTCACAGGCCATGGAAATAGCCTCTCAGAGGACTAAGGAGGAGCGGTCCAGCCAAGATCATGTGGATGAAGAGGTAGGGCATGTTCTCTGTTCACAGCGTCAGGAACACCTTTGTTCTGAGGGTCGCCTACACAGGCAGCACTCATGCTGGGAGAGTATAAACTTGACTTTACAGATGGAGCATAATTTAACTGAGCTGAGTTGGATTGCTTCATTTCATGCCATCACCAGCCTATTAGCCTGTTGTCCTAGCAGAGAAAAATTAAAGAGCTGTGCAGTCTGTGAATCAGAGGCCGGGGTGTCACACATCCACGATCTCAGGGTTCTGGGAGGCTGAGGCAGGAGGATTGCAAGTTTGAGTCCAGCTCAGACAATTTAGTGGCCACCAAGTGAGACCCTTTCTTAAAATCTCAAAAAGTTTAGAAAGGGCTGGGATGGGCTCTAAGTTCAGTTCCTAGGTGTGTGTGTATGGGGGATGATTTTGATTTTTTAAGCTACTTCACGTTGATTCCATGTATTTTGTAGATTTTAAATACTGAGCCTTTGGTGAAAACAAGCAAGGAAGAAGTCAGGGTACTTTTAAAAAGGCTCCACGACATGCTTTTTGCCTTTTAAAATCCTGGTAGCTGTTAATGTGACAAGAGCCTCGCTTGTTTGTTTTTTGTTTGTTGCTGTTTTGGTGGTTTTTTAGCTATTCTTTCCACGTAGGGTTTTTATTTTTTTTTTATATTTATTTAAGTACCAGGGATCAAACTCACAACTCTTGCTTGCCAGGCAGGCGCTTATGCCGCTGAGCTAAATCCCCAGCCCGTTTTGGTGTTCTTTGAGACAGGTTCTCATTCTGCGGTGCAGGCTGGCCTTGATTTCAATGTGTAGCTCAGGCTGGCTTGAAAATTGCTGTGGTCTTAGCCTCCCGAGAACTGGGATCACAGGTGTGAGCCACTGAGCTCGCCTGCGAGGTGTCTTTGGCATCCAGGCTCAGCAGACTGGTGGCATCCTGTGGAGCAGCCTCTGTCACTCCCTCTCCCTGAAGGCGAGACCTGTTCTAATGCAGTTTTTTTCTTGAAAATAAATCATATAAAAAATGTAGTGTTTTATGATGAGTAACAGATCACGTTGGCCAGCACCAGTGTGCTGGAGCCGGTGGCAGACTCAGGTTCCGCCGGGGCTCGTCGGGTGAGGGTGCCAAGGGCCAGTGGGAAGCGGACCAGGAACCGAGTGGCTATGGCTCCTCCTCCATCTCACAGGTGTTTAAGCGGGCGTATATCCCCAGAACCTTGAACGAGGTGAAGAACTACGAGCGGGACGTGGATGTGGTGATGAGGCTGAAGGAGGAGGACATGGCCATGAACGCACAGCAGGACAGCGTGAGTGGCCTGGGTCCTGGACGCCTTTTCCACCCCATCCGGAGCTCTGCGGGGCTGAGCGTGGGGTCTGAGCCCGCAGGATGCACACCCCACGTCCCGTGTCCTGGCGTGCGCTGAGGGGTGTTGTGAGGGGCGAGGTGTCTGCAACAGGGCCAGCAGCCTCATGGCAGCGAGGGCCAGGCCAGCCAGGGGACCACCACAGGTACACGCCTGGTCCACCACGCGTGTTTCAGGAAGAGTTTGCTATTACAGGACCAGATAATAAGTGTTTGGGGCTTTGTAAGCCAAGAAGCAAAATAGAGGCTGATATGTAGGGCGAAAATATCAGAGAACAGAAAAAATTCTGTTCAGAACTTTCATTCATGCAGCTGAACCTGTGTTTGGTAATAGTTCAGCATAGCCTTTGGAAATACGCTGAGAAGAAAAAGGTGAGGTCAGGGCTGGGGGTTTAGCTCAGCAGCATAAGCGCCTGACTTGCAAGCAGGCGGTTGTGAGTTCGATCCCCAGTACCAATTAAAAAAAAAAAAGTGAGGTTATGTGGGAAAGGAGGTGTCATCTCACCTGTGGGGTTCAGACTGCTGCTCACCTGTTGGGGTTCACATTGCTGGCAGGTGCTCACAGGCAAGAAACACCCGCTGCCGGTGGGATTGGCCTGCAGGTGTGGACAGGAATGATGCCCATAGTAGAATCTGGGTGTCACAGTCGATCAGGCATTTCAGCAGTGCAGTGTATCTGTCACCTCTTAGGCTGATTTTGATGTTTTTTTTTCCTTTTGGTTGCAAGATTCTCTACCAGACTGTCACAGGACTGAAGAAGGATTTGTCAGGAGTCCAGAGGGTAAGGACAATGTGTGGTAATGCTTCCATGAAAACTAGCGATCATAGCAGTGAAAGCAAACGGCGTCACACTGAAATTGCTATTTTTTAAAAAACAGTCTTGCTTTGATTTTTATATTTTAGGAGGGCAGGGGTTCAGTAGTTTTAATTGAATAACAAAGGCAGTTCCTTTTTAAATTTTTACTAACTGCTTAAATGAAGGAGCACATTTTGCTTTTTTGACCGTTGGCTGTGTTTCTCTGGGAAGACCTGAGCTGAGGGAGCTGCCTCGGCCTCCCAGAGCGCTGGGATTGTAGGCCACCAGCTCAGTTTATAGCAGGAAGTGGGGTGCGGAATTAGTGTTCATAGGGTTTAGGACATGAAGGTTTTGCTCCAGCTAGTTTTATACATTGCTTTTAAAGACCTTATCTTATAAAAAGAAACCACCCTCTTTTAAAAACTGCTTTCTACTGCAGGAAAAAAGAAAACTGCTCAATATCCAGAAACATGAAAAATTCTCTGGCTGAAAATTGTCTCCCTCTGGATTGCGGTAGTTTGTTGCTGGAAGCATAGCTCAGGGGTGTCTTCAGCCGTGAGGTGCAGGCGCAGTTCAGGTCCTCCCAGGCCCAGCTGCCCCAGCTCGTGCAGTGAGTGGCCACGGTTCTGGTGCTGATCCCGGCCCGGAAGCCTGCGCCCTCCCCTGTTCTGGGCCCTCGGCGCAGCACCTCAGGAGCTTCCTCCCTGCTGATGACCTGCTGTTCTGATGTTGTTTTCAGAGCACAGCTGCAGTGTTAAAACTGGAATCCTATGCTACCGTGTTCAGTAATGTCCTAGCCGTTGGCTTTGAGTAACATGGTCCTGTGATCATTTCAAGGTGCCCGCACTCCTCGAAAGTGAAGACGAGGAGAAGACCTGTTCAGATTCTGAGGACGCCGAGAGCGCCGGGCACTCCGACAGTGACTCTGAGGAGCAGGGAGGCCACGATCGGGGCCAGAAGCACCCCACCGAGCCCGCCGGGGACCGGAAGGTGGGCAGGCGCCCCTGCACCCCAGCCCACTGGGGGCAGCCAGGCCGAGCTGCTTTGTGCTAGCTCAGGATCGGGCTGAGACCTGGATGGCACCCCCGATTCCAGCTTCAGTGTCTAAAAGGGACCCTTGGTTTAGCCAGGGTGTGGGCTGCTGGGTGGGACCCTAGGCATTTCATGGGGAGGACAGCCTGGGGTCAGCACACTGATCAGCAGTGCGGGCGGGATTGTTCCCACAGCACAGTGTATGAGAGCTGCACCCTGCACAGGGCTCAGAGCTGGCCTCCACCTGGCGGTCATCCCTAGCCCTCCCCGCAGACTTGAGACTGCTGGGAAGGGTCCATGACCGCCTCCTGAGTGCCACCTTCAGTCTTAGTTTATCCTTTCAGCCTTACAAAATTTGGGTTCTGTGACGAGCTAGACAGGCTCCACTGCCTGGACATTTCTCTCTCTACCAGAAGCAAATATTTTGCCTTTTTCCAACTTCTATTTCTGTTAGAACATAAAAATAATAAGTCAAAAAAAGAAAAAAGTGGTTGTAACAATGACATCCACAGAGATACTTTTTTTCCTTCATACTGGGAATCCCACAGAGTTATTTGTGATGAAGCTAGCTGTCTTTACAGTTCTATAAGAGAGCTCCAGATTGGGTGTGGTTGGTACACACCTGTAATCCCAGCAGTCTGGGAGACTGAGGCAGGAGGGTCACATATTTGAGTCCAGCGCAGACAGTTCTGCAATGTAGTAAGACTCTGTCTCTGGCTGGGGATTTGGCTCAGCAGCATAAGCGCCTGCCTGGGCAGGTGTGAGGTCATGAGTTCCATCCCTGGTACCGAAAAAAAAAAAAAAATGACCCTGTCTCAAATAAAAACAGGCTGGGGATGTAGCTGAGTTTGAAGGCCCTGGGATCAATCCTTGGCACTTCTCTCCCCTCAAAAATCTTACCTCAGGGTCTGCCACTAACTGACACTCGGTTTTGGGGGGTGGGGTCTTGTTTTTTTGAGACAGGGTCTCACCATGCAGTTCAGGCTGGCCTGACACTCACTTTGTAGCCCAGGCTGGTCTCAAAACTTGCCACAGTCCACCTGCGTCAGTCTCCCCAGTGCTGGGATACAGGAGTGCATCACCACGCCAGGCTTTTTTTTTTTTTTTGAATGATACTGTTTTCCTTCCATGTGTGAGTGTTTACTTAGTGGTAATTGTGAGGATCTAGTGTTCCAAATGAATGAACTGATGGAGGTTTTGGTTTATGTTTTCACAGGAAAGAAAAAAGATGGTCAAGGAAGCCCAGAGAGAGAGAAGAAAACAAAAAATTCCTAAACATGTGAAGAAGAGAAAGGAGAAAACCGCCAAGAAAAAGAAAGGCAAATAGAGCCTGACCTGGTCAGCTGCCCGCTGGCCCCTCCTGCGTGTGGACGGCTGCGCCCCTCGCTGGGGCCCCGCCCTGCCCTGCCTCCCCACCTACCCGCCTCTGTGGACAGGATTTCTGCAGTGCAGAACATCACAGAGATGTTTATTTTTATGTATTTTTTCTTCTGCCAAATGTGTCGGAAGCACCCTCAGTCTTTAACTGCGGGGCACATCCATGGCTGGTGTGTGAGTGTAAAGGCACGTTAGGCAAACTTACGGGAGTGGTGCTTTCTTTCCTTGTCTGGAGTCACTGGTGACATGGCCATGGTTTGTGTGACACCGGCCACAGCTGTGTGCTCTCAGCACTGACCCCAGGGGCCCTCGTGGGATCGCTTCGCTGGCTGCGTCCCTGGCAGCCGCCCGCTGTCTGTATGCCTATAGTATTTGAGGATGCCAGGTGCCAGGGAGAGCAGTGCACGAGACAGACCAACCTGTGGGGTTCGCGCGTATCAGGAAGACAGGCGACACGGCGTTAGAGCGAGTGACCCGGGTGGCGGAGAATGCCGGCAGAGAGCTCTGCTGCTCGGTTTCCTCCTGCACCTGTTGGCGTGTGCGGGCTGTGCGGCAGTGGGGCGCACACGACCTGCTCGCGCTGGTGTGGGGGCTGCGGGGCCCCTCCGCATTCTGTTTCTCTGCTTTCACCTTCGGCCTCTTTCCATAAGATTTCATGTATCAGAGAGCATGTGGAACTCTTGTCTGGGTCTGGCTTGTGGGACCTCCAGCTCCCCCACGCAGACAGGCATCTGGGGGAGACCTCGGCAGCAGGGAGCACGTGCTCAGGCCCCTGGGGAAGCTGAGCGCTGCAGAGGGGCGAGCAAGGGGCATGTCCCTCCCTCAGGTGCAGGCCGCAGTGTCCAGGAGGGGCGGGGCTGCGCTCGGGGTAGTAGCCGCACTGCAGGGTCTGGAGGTGAGGACGGGTGCGACCCGCTGGCCGCTGGTGAGAAGTAGAGCTGGCAGCCAGGTTGCAGGGTCCCAGTTTTGTTTTTCGTTTCTTTGGTACCCAGGATGGAGTAGGCAGTTCCTTCCTTGACATAGCTGCTGGGCGGGGGCACCATGCTTGCTGACAGCTGTGAGGTGCTGAGCTGGAGCCTGGAAGCCTTCCAGTGTCAATCTTGTTAACGGGGCTCCGGGTGGCAGCTGCAGCAGTCACTGAGACGCTGCCTCAATCTGAGCTCCTGGCTGAGCTCCGAGTGGGCTGCTTGCGCGCTGGGCGGCGTGGAGTTCAGGGGTCTCTGGTTTAACTCTTGGGGCCCACAGCCGGGTCTCACTCCGTGCGGGGTTTCACCTGTCCATCCCAATGTCTGTTTTTCATACTCCAGATGAGGCGGTGTTTCTGAAAACTGGTGGGAAGTCCCATTGGTCCTCCCTCCCTGGCATCGCGGCCCACTCTGTGCCGCTGTCGTTCTCATCATGAGGAAGGCGGGTCAGGGACAGAACTGCTCAGCAGGTAGAGGGTGGCCCAGGGCAGCTCTGAGCTCTGCTCTGGCGTGGGTCCCGCGGTCCGCTGCACTCCTGGTCTTCAGCGTCGTCTCTCACCCAATGCAAGCAGACTGGAGGTATGTGGAAGCCTTGGCGCTGAGCGCAGCGTCCTGTCGCGCCTCCTTCCCGCGAGCTTCTCTTCTGTGTTTGGAGCCTGGCCAGCCCCTCCCCTGGACCTGCCCTGGTTCATTGCTGTGACCTCCCAGTCCTTCTGGCCTCACAGGCCAGAAGACAAAAATGGAATCAAAGATTCCTCTGGCTGCTGATGCATGTAAAGTTTAAAGACATTTCAGGTGACCTTCGGGAGCATGGGCCCACTGAGAAGTCAGAAGTAGGGTGCGGGCTTTTGCTGCCTCCATGTGAGTTCCGAGGGGCACTGTGGGGGCCGTCAGAGACTGGGGGGTGGAAGGAAGGCCCAGGCTGGTCTGGCCCCAGGCAGCCCTTTCCGTGTCCTGGTACCCCGGAGCGTCGGGGTGGCTGGCGGGGGGACGGGACCTTCCTTGGGGCCTTTCTGTGAAGGCTGCCGAGGACCTGTTGGGGCTCTCAGGCACCCCCAAACATGAAGTCTGAATCCGTGTTGCCCCAGATGTGATCACTCACAGGACACGCGACCAGGAGGATCCAGGTCGCCCACTCTGGAATAAGGGGCATCCAGAAGTGGGGTTCACAGACACAGGCGTGTGCCCTGATCGGAGTACTGTTTGCATCCTGGTTGGAGCAGCCAGTTATAAACAAATCAGGGTGCTTTTTGCTCACAGAAGAAGGAAAGTTAAAAGTGGATAGGTACTAGAGGCGTTTGTTTTTACAGTGACTTCATGCGTCATTTTAAAACTTGTTTGAATAAATGTCTTGGATTACTTTAAAATATCCCATCCCTCTTCCCAAAGAAAAGTGGTAGGCTGGGGACTTAGCTCAGTGGTGTAAGCACCTGCCTGGCAAGTTCGAGGTCATGAGTTCCATCCCCAGTACCAAAAAACAAGAAAAGTGGAAGATGAGCCAAGGTGACCAGATTGTTACTGGTGTCTGAAGCTGAGTAATGGGCACGTGTGAGTCCATTACCCTGCCGTATTAATTCTCTCGTGTTCTGTGACCAGAATCCGTGGAAAGAATTAAGTTCATGAACACGAGGCAACAAGTTTCACATCACAGCACTGTTGGGTGTCTGTGTATTTGTTAGTTTGCTTTTTAAAAGCAGTTTTGGCCTGGGTGGACACGAGGGTTTGTGTGGGTAAGCCTGGGTCTAGGCTGAACCGTCACTCCCAGTGCCCTTAGGGTTTAGGTCAGAAATGTCCCCAAGGGGCTTGTGACAAAGGCTTGGGGCGCTGTCAGAGGCAGTGTCTGTGGGCATTGGGACTTTGCTCCTCTCTGCTCCAGGTGCAGGCCAAGCCGGAGTGAGGGGCCCACTGTGGGCCCATCTTGGGTGCTCAGTCCCGGCGAGGAAGAGCTGGTCAGCACTGTGCTTTGAGCTCTGAATTCAGGGTGAAGTTAGAGGATTTCCGTGTTGAGCGAGTGCCCATAGACTCCTCAGTTCTGCCAGGTCTGGGCTTCTGCTAACACGTGGTGTCCCCATGAAGAGCGCTGAGGTGCCCCGGCCTCCTCCCCTTGCCCCACGTGTCCCCCCACCCCCAGCAGCCTGGGAGCCAAGCTCTGCTTGTGTCTTCCCCAGCCTCCCCCTTCTGCTCCAACCAGGGTGTAAGGCCTGCCAGGCAGGGTTCGTCCTGGTGGTTTTTGTATCCCAGCACCTAGAATCCTGCCTCAAACCTAGCGCATCCCAGTAAATACTTAAATGAATAATGTGTGGTCTTTCTACACGAAGATGGGGTGATCACTGCATCAAGCACCGCTGTGGTTCACAAGGGTGATTTGCTGTGGGGTGGTTTGCACACTCGCACCCATGTGTACACATCATCCCTGACCCCGGAGTCAGGGCTGGGGGCCACTGCTGTGCCCTGCCTCAGCCTTCTTTGTACCCAAGTTGCATTAAGATAATAATGAGTCATAGTTTGATTTTGCCTGCATAAGACCATTTGATTATCACCTGACTAATGGGTTCATCACCGGTCACAACACAGAAGAGATCCACACAGCCCATGTCACACCTGTGTGTAACATGAACAGTTGAGAAAAAGGCCTTTTAAACAAGGAGTGGGTTGGAATTACTGTTTTACTTTGCTTTGTTTTATTGTTTATCAATAGTGCTGGGGATGGAATACAAGTGCCAGTGATCACATAAGTCAGGTTTGCTTTTTGCACAAATCATCCGGTCAGACAGCTTACTTGTTTTTAGATAAAGAATGTGATTTATTAGCTCAATAGACAGAAGCTTGTGGGCCGCAGCAACGCAAGCTTCCAGAGGCACAGACAGCAGGAACGGGCTTCGGGACTGCGCTGGACACAGCAGCCCTCTCCAAGGTCAGATCAGAAAATGCAGCTGCTGCGCGCGGTTTTACCTCTGCCTCGCGCTCCGCCACTAGGGGGCGCCGTGGCCCGCGCCGGCCGCCAGCTATGTGCTCTGCGGCCGGTTTTTTAATGTTCACTGAAGAACTGCGAGTTGTTTTGGTCCATCATGACTCAGTACTTAAGTAAAACACCAAGAGCGGCAGAGACCAACATCTGAAAAGCCCTGGCGTAGGTCTGGCGCTCGTCCACTTTGTGGGCCTCAGTCTCCCCATCTGTCAAGGAGGATGCTGGGCTGGTAAAGACCCTGCTGGGGTAGCTGTCCCTGCCCCCCGGCCCGTGCAAGGCACACCCTGGATTCATAAGACTGAAACGTAGCAGTAGTCCCATGTGGAATACCTGTGAAACATCACAGGTGTTGGGCTGTAGCCTGCTGGTGGTTTTCTTCAGCTTCCTGTTTGCTGGGCTTGGGCTTCTTGTCTTTCATTTTGTTATTGGTAGGAGCTTGGCTGTGGGAAACGGAACCTAAGGTTTGTAAGCTCGCTTGTACTGCACAGTTACTCAGCTTTCAAACCTCTGCTGCAGCCTCCAGCCAGACTCCGTGGAGTGAGTCTCAGCAGCAGCTTGTGAGCCTGGCGGGGTGCACACCTGTAACCCCAGCGCTCTGGAAGGCTGAGGCAGGAGTGTTGTGAAGTTTAGCCCAGTACAGTGCACTCCAGGCTGGCCAGGGGCACAAAGCAAGACCTTGTCTCAAAAAGCCAAAATGACAGCAACAGCAAAGGGTGTCTTGTGCGCTGGGGTGCAGCCCTGTGGCATGGCACCTGCCTGGCACACTAGGACCTGGTTCCACCCTGGCACTTAGGAAAGGTGCCCACATCAGCATCCAAGGAGGGAAGGTGATGGTGGTTGACCGGGCAGCGCTAGCTGGGTGGTGACAGGTGACAGGTGGGCAGGTGACAGGTGCAGAGCCCAGCGCAGGGCAGCACAGGTGGCCTCAGCTGCTGGTCTCAGCCCCTGTCCCCACCTCCCACTGTCCTGCATCTCATTGGGATTGCCTGTGACAGGGAAGTCCTCCAGCCAGCCACCGGCTCGGGCCACAGATCACAGGACAGTACTGCCCCTCCAGCTGGGGACAGTACAAGCTGTAAGGTGACTCCTGCCTGCGGCTCAGGCTCTGCCACCATCCAGGGGTGCATCCAGGTTCCTCAGAACTGCAGGACCAGTGGTCCACGCGGACCTGCTCGCACCCACGGCCGCCTGCTGCCTCACCCTCTGCGTCTGTGGATGCGAGGTCATTGTCTGTCCCACATCCACGTCCCACTTTCCTGTGCCTGCAGCCA